CACACACACACACACACACACACACACACACACACACACACACACACCAAGGCCAAACAGAACACACAAACACACACAGATAATTGTGATTCAAGATTATGCTGATACTGTATTTTAGCTGCTTGTAATTACGGTACATGTGATGGCTACATGCTAATTAGCCAATTACAACACACTGACCCCCCCTCCCTGACCACAACACACTGACCCCCCCCTCCCTGCCCACATGTTGAACACATTAAATACATCTGCAACACACATGATTCCTTCAGTCTAAGCTAACAACAGTCTAACCTCCCGTCTCCATAGCAACCCCCCCAACACACCTCCTGCACACAGACACGACACCAGGCAGAGTAAAGAGGACACACACAAACAGGGCAGGAGAGACGGTGCATCAGTCAGACTCCATGAAACACACAACAACCTGCTCCACCTGCTCTGGGAGAAAACACCTGCGTCTCAGGCTGCGACGCGTTTCACTTAAATCATCTCCGTCCACGGCGACACACCTGGAGACACATCACGTGACCGTTCACGTACTCAGACCTGAACCCTCACCTGGCTGCAGGTATCAGAGGAACAAGACCGCACGTTGTGACGTATCACGTTACCTTGACGACGCCAAAACATGTTGTGTACAACTGTGGGATCGTGACTTTTGATTTTATAATTTTTATTCCCTTCCTTCACTTCCTGTTTGTAAACAACAACAATAATAATGTCGCATCAGATCTGATGAAAGCAGATTGAGGATTTATCATCATGTCACAGTTCAGGCTCTGAACCTGTTTGTTCTGTCTTTAGCGTTAGCGTTAGCATTAGCTCCTTTCATGCTTGTTTATTAACCAATCTTCTTCTACCTTCTTCTTCTTTTTTCCCCATTTCATGGCATTACAACACTATGAACTGTGGGTAATTTCCTCAGACAGAAAGTGTGAATAAAGGGCTCCACGTCTGTGAGAGAAAACAACGTGAACCATGGTAACGCCACTGTGACCACACAGAGAAGAAAAGAGGCGCTTACAACTGCCAGAGGCTGGACTTCTTCTTCTCTGGTAGAGCTGGGTTCTCCTTCGACGCCCTGAGACACACAAGAGTCACATTAAAGGGTTTACATGACAACACCTGTGAGTGTGTGTGTGTGTGTGTGTGTGTGTGTGTGTGTGTGTGTGTGTGTGTGTGTGTGTCTCACCGGATCATCTCCGTCCATCTGACCGCCTCCTGCAGCTCCATCAGTCTCTCCTTGTACTGGTTCCTCTCCATCAGGACCCGGGCCATCTCCACCCTGGTGAAGCGCTTCCTCTGGGCTGTAGGTACATCGCTCTGAAGACACAACACAACCATGACATCACCGACGCAACACAACCATGACATCACCGACGCAACACAACCGTCACGCCACTGACGCACTGTCACCACAACACACGGCTCCTGCTACATCAGCTTTCAAGTGAAGGTTCAGGCTAGAATTCCCGCCTTGTGGTCGTCTGCCTCCGTCACTCGGACTAGTTTCAGATTACATCTGAGTGTTTTGTGAGGTCACACTGACCTTAACCTTCGACCTTTGAGCACCAAAACCTAATCAGTTCGGACAACACGAAAACGACATGCCTCCGGCTCCGACTGTCGCCAGTGAGGAGGAATAAAAATGCTTTGACTCACATCGTCCTCATTCTCAGGCTTGACTTTGTGTTTGACCTCCTCCAGCTCTCCTCGGATCCTGCAGGACAGAAAAGAGTTCAGTCCAGGATCTACAGCAGGAGATGAACTGAATCCTGATCCTGATCCTGATCCTGATCCAGATCCAGATCCACTCACTTCTTCAGTTCCTCCTCCAGCTCTTTGTTCTTCTCCTCCAGTTTGCTCTTGGCCTGATTGACAGCGTCCAGCTCTCCTCGAAGAACCTCCTTCTCACAGGACAGCTCGTCCACCTGAGCGATCAGGTCGTTCTTCACCACGTTCAAAGCGTTTCTGAAAACACACACACACACACACACACACACACAGAGGTAAATACAGGTGAGTCTGATGTCATACCTACATCACACAGAAGGTGGCAGCACTGTCCTGTCAGAGCCAACAGCTGAGACAGGAGGGTGAAGAGGAGGAACTGAGGCTGGTCTCATTAGACTAATTAACAGCAACAAACTCCTCAGTCTCACACAACAACGAGCTGCTACAGGATCAACTGCAGAGATTAACTCTGGTGTTTTCAACACGACACGAGTCACAGAGTTTAATGACTTCCTGTGTTTCTGTCTCTGATCTTTACACAACATGAGACAGAGACAGTTAAAGGTTCTGAGAGATTTTAAACAGTAACACAGCAGCGATACTGGAGAATGAAGCCACACCCCCTCTGTGTGTGATGTAATCTGAGTTTCTCTGGTCTGTGTTTTAGCAGCACGTGCATGTTAGTGCAGCGTTCAGGTGAAAGATCCTGCTCGGCCCGTGGACCGTCCAAACGAAGTGTTTGCTTTGATCCGATCAGCTGACGATCGTTTACAGAACCTTTAATAAAGGAAAGTGTTCAGTGATTCTTACTTGGTCTCCATCAGCTGAGTGTTCTCATGGATGAGATGCTCCACCTCCCGACCCATACCTGGAAAACAGATATCATCATCATCATCATCATCATCATCATCAGCTCCACAGTGAACAGTCGGATCTACAAACCTACACACTAACACTCTGTGATTCTTACCTAGAAAGTTGTAATCTGAGAGTCGTGCAGAGGAACATTAGAAACAGGTTAAAGAGAACGAAGGAGACAATGTGAACATGTGCGACCTACAGTAACACTGACTCTCACAGCACAGTGACATCACTCTCATCTATCCTGCACATCCATGAGAAAAGTCACAGAGGGACCGATACACACCAGAGAACTCGTCTGTGAGGAGTTAACGCCCGACAGCCAGAGAAGAGACAGTTCAGAGACACGACAGGGAGAAAGGTGCTTGTAACAGTGGATCATGTGACTGTGACCAAATGACAGGTAGTGAGGGGGGGGGGCTTCTCACCCAGCAGGTCAGCTCCTTCGTCGACGTCTCCGATCAGGTCGTTTCCTGCCGACGACAGCTCCTCGAACAGAGACTCAGTGTTTCTGTCGAACGCCAGGTTCTCCACGCCGCCTTTAGCCGGCGTGCTAGAGGGAAACAGGAAGAGGAGGGCGGGGGGTCATTATAATGAAGCAGGTGTGAGGCTGCAGTGTAATCACGTAGCTTAATATCACCGTCGTAACACATGTGAACACAGCTGTTAACGTTAACACTGTTTTCATTCACATCCAGAGGAACGACAGAATGAAGAGGAAGTCGTAGCAGCTGAGATGTTAAAATAATCTTTACACTCCTCTGTAAATCGACCAATCAGAGTGAAGAACAGGTGACTGTTGTTTCGTACAGTCACTAAAGCTTCAGGTTTCGGAGCAGCTGTGTGACCTGAACGTGTTGTGGTTCTGGTCTTGTCACGGGGGTCAGGGAGTCCAGTACCTGGTTCCTCTGCAGCTCTCCAGGTCCATGTCCAGTTCTGGAGTGGACTCTATGATGGCCTGCACCTCAGACTTGTCCAGGTTCTCCGCTCCATCATCTGGTGCAACCAACAGAGACAGAGACATTAGATTCACATGAGCAGACAACATACATCATCAGGGTGTGGTGACCGCAGCTCAGACCTCCACCTGTCGCAGGTGTAGCAGCAGACTCCTGACTGCCCCGCCCACTCTGACCCTGCTGTCCTTCCTGCACCGCTGAGATGTTCTTGTTGCTCTCCGGCTTCCCGCTGTTCCAGTCCAGGTTCTGGTTGAAGTCCGAAGCCCGCTCCTGGAGGGGGGTGTCCACAGACTCCATGGCCACATCTGAAGCAGCTGCAGACCCAGGTGTAGCAGAGGCAGGGCCCCCACCATGACTGGACACAGGACTCACAGTGGTGGAGGCGCCGTCATGAGGAGACAGAGGTGTGGACGCGGAGGTGGGGGTGTTGGATTTAGACGTACCGCCCTGAGAGGACATGGGGGTGTTGGACTTGGATCCTCCACCTTTGGAGCCTCTGCGGTTTGAACCAGCCAGTTCATCCTTAAGGTGGAGGGAGAGGAGGAGAAGAGGAGAAGAAGAGGAGAAGAAGAGAAGAAGAGGGAGAGGAGGAGAAGAGGGAGAGGAGGGAGGAAGACAAAGGATTAAACTTTAATCTTCATCACGTCAACATGACACGTTCTTTTGTGCAGCTGTTCACACGAGACACAACGACATCAAACATTCACCAAGTACGTTTCAAACAGTGACCTCTGCTGGATCAAAGGTGAACAACAACAACAACAACAACAACAACATCCCCACCGTCAGCAGGCTGCGACAGGAGCTCAGAGGCCCGGAGCCAGTTATCACCTGCTGCAAATGTTGAACAATGTGAGGATCACTGTTCTAATCAAAGATCTTAATTATTGATCACTATTATTGTAAACTTTTTTCTCCCTGTCAGGATCCTGTAGGAATGACTGTGATGTTTTTCCATGCAGCCATCTGATTGGTCAGTAGTTTGGTCTGATCCGGAGCAGGTTAGGAGTTCAGCATCAGTCACCATGGTGATATACCCCGGCAACAAGTTACCTCGATGACCTCAAATCCTGCTTCGTAGTCCAGATCTCAGGTTCTGTGATTATTTCGTTTATTTCACTTCACTGAAACTCCTCTCATGGTTTTATAGATGATCCATTGTCGTTGGCTCTGAAACTGACTGTTCTCACACCTGCATCTTCACCTGGCCCAGGTGATAACCAGCCAGGTGACGCTGGTTATCCAGGATCATCAGAGTCAGGCTCAGTGAAGTCAGGTACCCACAGAGAGCCGGACCAAGCTTCACACACATTCAGGCAACGAGCAACAACAACTAAAACCATGTTATAGATGTGAGTAAATCCTCTCGATGAGGATCCGAGTTCTGGTTCAGACCCATGAGAACTGACGGGTCTCACACTGTAAACACTTGAAGCAGCTGAGTCCAGACACATGCAGCTGTTAGCATCATTTCATTTAATCACACACAGTGACGTCTGCACCGCATCCACACACAGCAGGGCACAGACGCTGGGTTAGTGTGGTTCCTTCATGACAGGCCGGTCTACCTGGTCCTGATCGGCCTCCTCATTGGACAGCTTCTCCCGTGACCCTTCACCCTCCGCTCTGATTGGACAGAACTGATCCTTGGACTGAGGAACATTAAAGACCTTTATCATTAACCTGACACAAAGCAGCAGAGTGAGCTGTGTGACGTTCAGGTGTAATGACTCAGTGGAACAACACGACTGTTCTCACTAGAACCTTCTGAATGTGTCTGAGAGAACAACACACAGCCCGAGCTCCACAGGTGAACTCACAGCGAGCAGTGATTCCTCAGGTGCAGGGGGAGACCTGAGGCCGGTTGCACAAAACACCTTAGGTTAAGATTTTCCCCTCAAGTCTGAGTTTCCTTAAAATAACTAGAACTCCCGCCTCGCGGTTTAATGCCTCCGCCAAAACACTTTTTGTGGTCTCGAGATATTGTGTTCACAAGGCCAAAACCGGGTTTTGTGAGGTCACCATGACCTTGACCTTTGACCTTTGACTATCGAAGTCTAACCAGTTCATCCCCGAGTCCAAGTGAACGTTTGTGCCAAATTTGAAGAAATGACTAAAACACATGAAGAAGAGACAGCGGCTCACTGCTTTAACGTTATCAGCTTCCCAAAAGTGCTAAAGGCGGCAAATCAACGGTCTCCACGGAAACAGAAGAATTTTACTGCTGTAAAATCTCTCTCGCTGCTGCTTCAACTTTATTTTCCTTAACTAAGGAAAACTTTTAAGAGATTCTGTGCAACACCCTGAAGTAACTCCCTCAGCTGAGGAGAAATAAAACCTGAAGTGTCACATTTAAGTAGAAAACTTTTGTGCAACTGGCCCCTGGTCCCTCTGTGAATATGAACCAATCAGACACTGAGGGTGAGCAGCGTCGTGGCCTCTGGCCCCTCCCACCCTGTGTTGTTGTGATCTGGTGACTCCAGTGGTCCAGTCCTATAAATAGCACAGTGGCTGATGGGAAAGAGTCAGAGCATCCACACAGATCCCGTCACCTTGAAAAACAGATGGAGGAGGATGGAGGACCGTGAGGCGTTCACTGACCCCTGTTACACTACAGACTGTTGTTCTCTCTCTGCTCTGACTGTTTCCTTTCACTCCTCCGGTATCCATGCTGCCGTTGCTATAGTAGCACTGAGGAGCCAATGGGGGGAGAGCTTCCTTCCTGTGCTTCTCTCCTGATTTAGTCTCTTCACTAACGCTCCAAAACACACACACACACACACACACACACACACTGAGAGGGAGGGAGCATTTAATGTAAATCTCTAGAAAATGTCAAGTCAGAGGAGAAAACACAAAGACACAGCAGTGTGTCTGTACTGTGTGTGTGTGTGTGTGTGTGTGTGTGTGTGTGTGTGTGTAGACCTGAGTGATGGGGATGATCTGTATTTTACTCAAGGACTGTGTAAAGTCTTCACTTTAAAAAAAATCATCAGTCATGAAACAATCTAAAGTTTTAGTAACTTTAAATAAAAAGTCACCAGAGGTCAAAGCACCTCCTCACGCTGACAACGGTCTAATAACCAATGTAATAACCATTAATGAACGCTTATTAGTAGCTCATTAATATTCATGACGGAGCTGTTTGCAGCATCGTCTCCAACAGCAACAATGTGAAGAGACTCTGTCCTCCACCCTCCCTGAGGTTAAAGGCAGGCCCCCGAATGGTACCACTTCCCCTGGGCTCTGAGCCACACACACACACACACACACACACACACACACACACACACACACACACACACACACACAGAGGCTGCTAAAGATTCTGGGCAGCCCTCTCTCTCAATAGAAGTGTACTCTGGCACTGAGCGTCGTAGTTTGTCTCCACAGCCTCTGAAGTGTCCTGAAGATGATGATGTCATCGTCTGATCCGTGGGAAGCGCCACAGGCTGACCTCATACACAAACTTTACACTTTAACACTGCTCTCAGGACGTGTGTGTGTGTGTGTGTGTGTGTGGTACCTTGAGGCTGGTGTTGGACCGTGGGTGGCTGAGGTTGTTGAACCTCCAGGGTTCAGAGGGCGTGTCCACAGGCTCTCTCTGGAGGTCAGGGGTCACACCATCAGTCCCAGGAAGCTGGAATATGCCCATGGAGATGGGACGCTCCTTCCTGGAGACGAACAGAGGAAGGTGACGTAAAGAGAAAGAAACACAAGTGTTTGGGGAACGGACTCGGCGGTCGAGCTGCTGTTACGTAATGGGAACAGAGAGAACACAATTACCCATGAGTACACAGGAGGTGAACTGTCACCACACACAGGAAGTGAGGGTGAGTCCATCAGCTGACCAACATGCTAGCAGCTCTGTGGAGCTACACTCACCATTTACTAATTAGCACTAAACACAAAGTGCAGCAGAGGATGATGGGAAATACTTCAGTTTGAGTTCAGGTGTCAACAAAGTGAATTTGTTCATGGGAAATGTGAGTCTGGACTGAAGCGGTGACACAGACCGAGGCTGCACCATGAGCATGTGATCCACAGTGAGCAATGAGCAGAGCTCAGCAGGAAACTCCTTGCTGTATAAACTCCTCATTAGTCCGACAGCACAGGGGCACGACAGGCTGCACTGTGGGATAACAGCTTTGTCTGACACCTGCTTCACTTCTAACAGATTCTACGTTTAATTTACTTTTACTACATTAAATGAGCAGGTTGTTTCAAAATATTATCAAAACCTCAACATGACCAGATGCAATTTACAAATCACAGGAGCTGCGATGGTTTGATAAAGGTAAATGTTCGTGATGACGCGACCTACAAAGCAAACATCATCACTATCACTAAAATCATGACTCCTATCACAACATCTGTCCAAACATCTGTCCCAGTAAGACCTGATGTTGATTGTCTCTATTTTAATGTATTTTTCCAGGAAACAGTTCAGGCGACACACAACGCACTGACGGAGGCGAAGTACCATCTCCAGTTATTAAGAGTCAAATGAAGGACTTCACACTGATCTGTTACTGTCTGCAGCTCAGGTATTAAACTGGACTGATTGATTAACTGATTATTTGATAATAAGCACTAATATTCACCAGTATGTCACAATAAAGTCACATGATTTATTAGTGACATGTATGAGCTCCATATATCCCATTTTACATGAACACACCTGACGACAACATCAACATTACACAACAAGACGATATCAAAAACACCAACCTACAGAGTCTGCTGTTTAAATCACGACTCAAAACACACGTGTATAAAGCAGCTTTTAATTCCTGATTTAAATTTTAACTTTGTTCCTTTTGGTTTTATTTTCTTTTGTTGCTCCATTGATCTCATCGTTTTAACACACGAACTACACGTTGCCTCTCTTCTATGTTTTGTTTTTATGTTTGTACAGAACTTTGTAACTTTGTTTTGAAAAGTGCTGTATAAATAAAGTTATTATTTTTATGACAGAAAGAGAGAGAGAGAGACAGAGAGAGGTTCACTCTGCTGACTCACTGTGCAGCTGCTTTCAAACACTATTCAGAGAGCAGGCAGATTTTTCTTTGGCGGGGTTTTATCCTAAAACACACACACTCTAACTAACTCTAACTAACTCTAACTAACTCTAACTAACTCTAACTAACTCTAACTCTAACTAACTCTAACTAACTCTCACTAACCCTCATATTCAGTCCTGGACAAACTGATAATACTAGACTAATAGTTTGGACGTAAACCTTGTGAAACCTTATGAACCATAATAAGTTTTAACAACTTGGCAGCTCACTGCAGGAGATCACATTCAGACGTCCATTAACCAGCAGCTCTAACACTGACACACCACCCTCCTCTGCCTCAGCAGGTCCACAGCAGCAGCTCCTCTCACTCCACTGACTCCCGAACAGTGTGAGCAGAACAATGGCTGCCACAGAGAAAACAGCAGCCACTGATGAAAAGCTGCAGCCCAACAACACAATGGACACAACCATACTGAGAACAGAGGTCACACACAGGCCACTGATGGTGAGCAGAGAGTCTCTGTCTGATCTGAACACACACCAACAGTCACTCAGTGTCAGGTCGCTGTTCCAGCAGATGATGAGAATCATAAACACTTCACTCGGCCGTAGATACACCTCTCTCTCTCTCCTGACCTACTTTACCGTCTGCCTGTATCACACCCACATGGCAGCCGCTCAGCCTCCACACACACTCAGACAGGACACACACACTCTGTACCTGCTGGGCCGGGGGATGGAGGGTAAGGACGGCAGGGCAGGTAAGCTGCCGGTGGACACGGAGTAGTGGACCAGCAGCAGCACCGACAGAGACACCAGCACAGCTGAGTTGATGACCACAGCTCCCCCCACGAAGCCAAACACAAACAGCAGCATACACCCGGGGCTCATGGCCCCCCCAGATCATGGCCCAGTGCCTCGCGAGGACCAGGAGGTTGGGGGGCACAGACGATGAAAGCAGGTGAGGTGGAGGGGGGTCACCGAAGCTCTAGATCAACTCTGTGAGACAGGTCAGAGACGCTGCGTCCGTCCAGCTGCAGCTAGAGACCGAGTGCGGGCCAAACACAGAACGGTCTGCCAGCAGAGGTACCAGCAGCAGTCAGCAACAACAGCCAGTAACAACAGTCAGTAACGGTCAGCAGCAGTCAGCAGCAGTAATCCTGGAGGCTCCAGCAGCAGCAGTGATTGAGCAAAGCAGAGCAGTGGATCAGACTCTCCTCCTTCGCTCAGATGCAGCTCGGCTGCTGCTGTTCAGTCTAGAACAGTCTGACGCTCTCCCTCTCTCTCTCCCTCTCTCTCTCCCTCTCCCTCTCTCACTCTCTCTCACTCTGTGAACCCTCCACCCCTCCCTCTGTCTCTCTCTCTTTTGGATGCTGAGGCAGCTCGTTCCATATGCCTCCTCTCAGGCGACAGCCTATTGGCTGCCAAACAGGCAGACTGATCAATCAAAGAGTGTGTGTGCTGTGTCTGTATGTGTGTGTCTGTGTATGAGAGAGAGGGGGAGAGAGAGAGAGAGAGAGAGAGAGAGAGAGAGAGACATTGGCAGTGTGTCTGCATTAGAGGAATAGTGAGGGGGAGGGAAACACAGGGGCTGAATGCACAGACATTAAAATGCTGCACAGTACAGAACCACACTGTCACACACACTGTTACACACTTACACACTGTTACACACACTGTCACACACACTGTCACACACACAGTCAAACACTTACACACTGTTACACACACTGTCACACACTGTCACACACACTGTTACACACACACTGTCACACACACTGTCAAACACTTACACACTGTTACACACACTGTTACACACACTGTCACACACACTGTCACACACACAGTCAAACACTTACACACTGTTACACACACTGTCTCACACACTGTCACACACACTGTCACACACACTGTCTCACACACTGTCTCACACACTGTCTCACACACACTGTCACACACACACACACTGTCACACACACACTGTCACACACAGTTACACACACTGTCACACACACAGTCAAACACTTACAAACTGTTACACACACTGTCACACACTGTCTCACACACACTGTCACACACACTGTCACACACACACTGTCACACACAGTTACACACACTGTCACACATTGTCACCATCCTGTAACACACGCACTGGTTCACACACACTGTCACACACTGTCTCACACACACTGTCACACACACTGTCACACACACTGTCTCACACACTGTCACACACTGTCACACACACTGTCTCACACACTTTTTTTTTACTTTTATTTTATTTTTTATAGTTTTCATTTCTTGTTTCTTTAATGGCTGTTGGACTGTATACTTGTCTGTATATGTGTTTGCTCTGATGAGCTGTTCACTACATATATGAGAGCAGTGACATTAAACTACAGTTAGAATCTGATGAGATATTCACAGAGATCAAAGGTCAAAGGTCCTTTGATCTTAATGTTTCAGGTTCATCGTTGGCAGGACTGAACTGTTCTATGTTTGTGTTGATCTACACCGACACAGTGATTGTGGTGGTGTGGTGTTGGTGGTCTCACCGTGTTCTGGATGATGTGCCTGTATCTGGCGGCTCTGCTGGTGTCACTGGGTGCTGGTGTTTGGTCCGCTCCAGATGTTCCATGTAGCTGTGGATCATCTGGACAGAACAGGAAGACATTTATACAAGTTTTACAATCTGTGTCAGAGAGCTATGATGATGTTATTGTAGAAATGGTCACGGAGAGCTCCGTCTAAAACGGTCTGGTTACTATGGTAACTCACGCTGACACACACCTGTGACAGTCAGCTTCACAGTGGATGTTGTGATGTGTCGGTGACAGCTGTTATCTCTTCATTATTATTGAGATGAGCTGCTGTTTGACTCTGAGACGTCTGTCAGTGATGATAATGGAGCACAGGCTCATGTCCAGATGCTACATGCTCTGCTCCATCACTCAAAGGTCAGAGGTCAGAGGTCAGCTCTGTACCTCTGAGTTTCCTTCACCAACACAACACAGGACTAAACCTGATTGTTTCTAAACTGAGTCAGGTGTTCATCAGACTGTAAATAAAGATGGACGTCGCCTCCATGACGTCACACACAGGTTTCTGAAGAGAGAACTGCTCTACCGTCGCCATCTTGGCAGTGTCTGACTCCGCCCCTAACTCCCAGCAGATCCAAAAATGGTCAAAGAGAAGTGGCATGTGTGGAGCTGAGCCTTTGTGGCATGCATACACTCACCCACCTGTCACTCAAAGAGGCCACACCCTCAATGATTCATAACTCTAAGCCTTAATAAAATGGGTGAGTCAACAGGTGAGTTATATGAGCAGCTGTCCTGAAGCAGGAAATCAGCCGTAGAGACCAAAACTAACGACTCACCATCATTTCATTTATACCTCTCTTGTCCTCTGCTGACGTGTATTTGAACAGTTCTTCAGGAGCCACATTCACAGTCAACAGGTGATGAACTGAACTCAGGTAAGTTGACCTCTCTGTGACCTTTATGACCTCTCAGATTCATGACAGCCTGCACTCACACCTCTCCTCCACTCAGGTTGTTTTCACCTCTGAGCCTCGGTGGATTCATGTGAGTGTGTGTGTGTGTGTGTGTGTGTGTGTGTGTGTGTGTTTCTGAATCACGCCGTACATGCAGAGGAAACGGAAAAGTCATCATCATCACTGGTTATCGAGGACATGAATGTGAGACTGAATGAATGCAGCTCACCTCGGTGTGTCTTTGATGAAGAGCATTATACTCCTTTTTGAGCTCAGCCTCTCTCTCCTCAAACCTGCTGACTGAAGAGAGAAAACAGTCAGTCACATGATCAGAGCAGTCACATGATCACACCCAGACTCACTCTGAATAACCAGCTTCATCCACTTCTTCTGTATGAATTCACTGATGTGATTAAACAAACATTAAATCACTTCATGCGGTAATGGAGTTACTGCAGTTACATCACAGAGTGAAAGCACCTCAGTTAGAAAGTGTCTGAGGAGCTACACTCTGTGTAACAGCTCCACCTAGTGGCCAATGTGCACCACATTTGTGTGGCGCAGCAAACTACTGACCCAAGTTTAGTGTTAATCAGACTGACCTATGTGTGGACGTGACATCACTTCCTCTGTACGAGTACAAGTGTTTCCTTTATCACGTTTGGATTTTCAGTCTAAAAATTCTCAACAACTTGTGATCATGAGAGAACACAGATGATACGAAGTAATAATAATAATAATAATAATAATAATAATAATAATAATAATAATAATAATAATAATAATAATAATAATGGTGCAATAACAACAACCCCCTCATTCTGTGTTTGTACCTTTCCTCCAGAACACTGAGGAGGAACAGACACAAAACACTCCACCTGTAACAGGTTGAACAGCTGATAGAAAGAGGAACTGGTGGTAAATCAGTGGAGCGTAAACACAGGTGTGTTATAAAGGTGTGTAGAGTAAAAGGAAGTGATGTAACATGAAGAGAGTGAACAAATTAAAAAATAATATGATATGAGCATCAAGAGCTGGTTCTGGAGGAAATGTTCAAACGTCTACCTCAGTCTTTGATAAATAACTCAAATGATTAATCAATTATCACAATATTTACTAATTACCCCCCTATGAATGAGTGAATGAGTGTGAACATTAAATGGAGTTGACAGCTGAACATTATGAGGTCGGACTGCGTGCGTTCAGATCAGTGACTTCCTGCTGACAGTGAAAACACAATTACACACAAATCAAACACACAAAACAGAGAAACAGGAAGTGTCACATCCAAAGATATAAAAACAAAACTGCTGACACGTCTCAGATTTTTCCCCGAATTGACCGAGGTGTGTAACAGTCACACACTGTCGACGGCGCAGTCATGCACACATCATGAGGGTTGTCTCTGGTCTGCACCGTCTCTACTTCAGGTCCAATATTCATTCACAAAACAGAACCATTTGGGTGAAAAGATGGAATTATGAAACAATCACAATTTTAAATGTTTTAAAACTTGCAGTGTTTTTTTCCCCTCATATTAAGGTCTGTCACTTTGATAATCCAATGATAGGAACTTTTATGTCGTCGCCGGGCCACATCATACACTTGTTTCCTATCTCAGTCTGATTGTGCGCTAACTGATCACATCCATGGCAAAAACTGGAGAATCAAAATGGATAGCTGGTCAGCAACAGGAAGAGTTAAAGAGACAGATGTTGATCTCTCCTCTGTCAAACAAAAAAGAAGAACTGAGCTTCCTCCGCTTCAGTTCAGTCCTGAGTGTTCGATCTTTAGCATTAAAATAAAAAGTGCTCAGGGGCTTACAGGGTCGGATGTGGACCGCCAACATGAGTTAGAAAAGGTTGAGAACCACTGGTCCACATGTTCTCCCCTCCACCCTAGTCATATGGTTCGTCCTCACTCTCTCACACTCACACACACACACACACACTCACACACTCACACACTCTCACACACACACACACACACACACACACACACACACACACACAATGTCGATAATGATCACAGCTCACACTCTGCAGACAAACACCGTTACTGAGGGTCTTTATTCAGTCCATCTGCCCTCTGGCTTATCAGCTGTCACAAGACCTGCACACTGTCCGTGTGTGTGTGTGTGTGTGTGTGTGTGTGTGTGTGTGTGTGTGTGATGGACTTACTCTGATCTGCATAGTTTTTAGTCTTCAGCTCCAGGTGCCGACTCTGAGACTCCAGCAACACCAGTCGACCCTGGAGGTCCTTCTTCTCTCCCTCCTGAGAGTCTTCTAGAGCGATGTACCTCTGCAGACAGAGACAGAGACAGTCACTCTCAGAGTTAGTGAGTATACCTGTAAACCTGTATACCTGTAGGTCCAGTGAGGGCTGATGGTTTGTGTTTCTGCCTCAGGACACAGAGAAGCCAGGTGTGTGTGTGAGATCAGCCAGTATCTGAATCACAACCATCACAGTCTACAACATTAAACATGACGACAGTGACCAAGAGTCAGAGAGGAGACGTTTGGACTAAATGTTGTTCATGTGTGTTGGTGCCAGAGAGAAACACACTCTGTCCTCTGTTACAGTCATCTAACCGCTCCCTACAACAGGTGCACAGCACCACAGCAACAGTCTGTATATATATACACACACACACACACACACACACACACACAGTGTTGATGTCAGTGTGAAGGTTGTTTTTTCAATCTTCACAGCAGCTGTTGTCACTAACCTCACTCCTGCTCTCAGGGGATGTTGAGCTCTGTGACTGATTTTACAGCAGAGGAAACACACAGAGGAGTGTGTTCTGAACACAAACACACACACACTGTAAAATGATCATTATGATTAGAATAATATTCATAATCAGTGCAGCAGCTGATGTCAGTGGACAGAGACAGAGTCAGAGGAGACCTGATCCACTTCACACTGTGAGTTCATGAGTTCAGATGAAACTTTAATGAGCTCTGAGAAAGTGGATCAAATAACAAGAACAGAAACCGTTTCAATAAAAGAGGAGAACATCATCAGATAAACTGTGACTGAACCACAGATCCAGAGTTTAACCTTGTTAACTGCAGTGAACCAATGAATCTCATAAAAACAGATTCAGGGTTTCATACATCACAAACCGAAAGAACCAATCCTGTCAACTTGTGGGGACGGGGGGCGGGGCTAAATACACCTGAAACCTCATCAGTACAGAGAGTGAGAGTTAGCATTAGCACAACTGCTAACACTATGTCAACCCACTGCCAGTTACAAGCTAACAAACAACATAAACAAATAAAAGATGCTAACTATGCTAACGGTTCTGACCCGTCTGCTAGTCTCTGGTTCTGGTCTCAGACTCCTCCTCTGAGTCTGGGTCTGGGTCTGACTGAGGCTCCAACATGTGGCTGAGTCTCTCTGATGTTTCCTCCTCTCACCATCTTGATGCTCTCTGCTCTCTCACCTGTCCACCTGGAGCCAGCAGGTGGTGGGCGGGGCTCAAGGCCTGATCCAGGTTTGAGCTTCAGACCCAGTTTAATGTGTGAAAACGTGTCAAACTAAATATGATCACAGAGTTTAAAACATGACAGGAGGAACTGTAATACACTGTGTGAATATGAGTTACAACCTTCATTATAATATGAAGAATTATAAGTGTGTGTATGTGTGTGTGTCATGTATTGATCAGCTGATCAGCTGAGTCAGGCTCGTGCTAACAGGCGGAGAGCTCTCCATGTCTGTAAACATGCAGTCTTGTGATGTGGGTACCGGCTGTGGACGGGGGCCCCGTGGTCGGGCCGGGGGCGGGGTGTGGATGTCATTTGTGCGGAGATGAGGATCACCTGGTTCTTCACACACGAGTCACATTGAGACTAGAGGTGAGGAACAGAGGTGTTGGTTCAGGACACTGGTTTAAACACAATCACTCATTGATGGTGGAGGTCTCTCTCTCTCTCTCTCTCTCCCTCCCTCTCCCTGTGGCTCCTCAGCTGTTTCAGAGAGGAGCACTTGATTTACCATGAACCACCTCTGAGGTGACAAACAACAAAAGGACTGAAGAACTTATTGTGAAGTTTGAGTTAGTTTACATAAATGGCTGCAATGTGCACCCCCCCACCCCCCCCCCACCCCACCCCCCCCCAGTGAGGTCTGGAAAGTCCCAGGAGCATCTTAAGACCTGAAGTCCTGCTACTAAAGCAGCATTTCCCATGTAAATCTAATAAGAGCATTAACATAGCACTGGGCTGGACTACAGCCGGCTGGCTCCTGGGGTGGGGGTGGGGGTGGGGGGGTGCACTCCTCCTCAGACTTACATCCATTAACCCTTACAGACTCAACACTGTAACAGACTGTAGAGACTGCGTGGATGACGCAGGCCGACGCCCCCTCCTCCACATTCATCAGAACAATCCCAGCATCCTCTCGCCCTGCTGCTCGTCATATGAGGCCTGTGCATGACAGCGCTCCAGAGAATGAGTGTTCCAGCAAGTTAACGTGCACTCTTCCCCCCACACTGCACAGATAAGGCTCCCTTTGTCCCAACACACACACACTCTCTCTCTCCCTCACACACACACACACACACACACTCACACACTCAACTGACAGAAATCAACTCCTGCTGGTGTGTGGTTGGCTCATCTGGGAAAACTGTGGAGTTTTAAGGTCACGACCTCCAGACACACATCATGATGACACAGTGAATAATACGGATGCTATGAGAGTCATTTTGATGAGAACATGTTAGAGACTGTAAATCCACTCACTGACAGTCGTCACAGCTATGTGAAGCTGTAGTCACAGCAGTGCTTTAAGCTACATGCTAACGTGCTAACATGCTGATGTTTAGCAGGTATAATGTTCACCATGTTTTCCATATTACTTTAGCTTGGCCTGGTTAGCATGCTAACATTAGCTAATTAGCACTAAACACAAAGAGCAGCAGAGGCTGATGGGAAAGTCATAAAGCATGAACCTGATGATGGTGGTAGAGGTCATTAGAGTTCATCCTGAGGGGAACACGAACGTCTGAACCACATTTCAAAGCAACCAACAGCTGTCCACACATTTCACCAAACATCAGATTATCAATGACTCTCAGTGTCTCTGTTCATCCGGTACATGTTCAGATATTTTACTTGAGAAGTTAAAACTCTGCTGAGCTGCAGGAAAACACGCGTCTGAACAAGACTTCATGGAGTCCATCTGATGGTTGATGAGATGTTTTAGTCTGGACCAAAGTTCTGGATCAACTGACCAACCAACTGACCGACCGACACATTCACTGACACTGTTGTCTCCATCTGTCTAATCCTAAACCATCCTCATGATCATATGAGGCAGTGCTACAGAACACTACAGGACCTGACTGTGACCCGCGTCCTGACAGATTTGATGTTAATGATTGATGATGATCGGTCAGCTGGACTCTGTGGAGCAGGTCCTGACTGGACAAAAGAACCGAGGGAGGTTTTCCTCAAGAATTTCCTGCCTTGCCTTTTCCTCCTGTGTTCAGACAAACCACTGAGAGGAGGTTCCTCCTCCTCCTCCTGCTGCTGCTCCTCCTCCTCTGGGCCGGGGGCAGCAGCAGCAGGACTCGGCTCACACTGTGTTTGTTTGGTAAAATTAATCTGACTCTTTGCCTCCAGAGCGACTCGTCGGCCTAATGAGAAGCTTAATAACCCAGGCTGCTTATGTCTCTCCTCTGAGTGGGCAGTTGTTGTGGTGCTGGGGGAAACTACTTACTTTTATTCACCTTTAATTAACCACAAATTAGTTTATAAATGTATCAACAGTTTGGCCCCAGAGTTTCTCTCCAGACACATTACACAGACTGTACTTCACAATCAATTAATTTCAGTCTAGTATTTTACTCTACTGCCACATCTGTAGTGTGTTGTGATTCCATGATAATGCAAACAGGTTGTGACTCTGTACATGTAAAAACTCAACGAGAGTCAAGAGCTGAAAAAGAGCAGCAGCTATAAAATCTCAGGTTCACGCTCTGTATGAGAACAATGTCCAACTGCATCGTCTCTATTAAATAAATAAACAAACTAAAACTTCATGTCCGAGGAAAAGACTTGACAGTATTGATCTACTATTCATTCAACACGTTTTCAGGAGTATTCAGTGTTAATTCACCTGCATAGAAACACCTGTAGAGGAGACTGTCACCACTTCCTGCTGATCATATCCACCCTTCATTTACTGAGAGTCTGGATTCTCCTTCCTGTTCGTTTCACCTCATTCATTTAACTGTGATAATGACACAAATATATTCATGAATCCAAACGAGCAAAAAACTGTTCTCCGTCAGCTCTACTGTTCTCCATCATCTCTACTGTTCTCCGTCAGCTCTACTGTTCTCCGTCAGCTCTACTGTTCTCCATCAACACTACTGTTCTCCATCAACACTACTGTTCTCCATCAGCTCTACTGTTCTCCATCAACTCTACTGTTCTCCGTCAGCTCTACTGTTCTCCATCAACACTACTGTTCTCCGTCAGCTCTACTGTTCTCCGTCAACTCTACTGTTCTCCGTCAGCTCTACTGTTCTCCATCAACACTACTGTTCTCCGTCAACTCTACTGTTCTCCGTCAGCTCTACTGTTCTCCGTCAACTCTACTGTTCTCCGTCAGCTCTACTGTTCTCCGTCAACTCTACTGTTCTCCATCAGCTCTACTGTTCTCCATCAGCTCTACTGTTCTCCGTCAGCTCTACTGTTCTCCGTCAACTCTACTGTTCTCCGTCAGCTCTACTGTTCTCCGTCAACTCTACTGTTCTCCATCAGCTCTACTGTTCTCCGTCAGCTCTACTGTTCTCTGTCAACAAACTCTTAAATAATAACTGTGATTTTCTTAAATTTTAATTTAATGGTTGATTTTTCAGTCAGGACTAAAGAAAACAGGATTCATGAGTTCACAGTTTAAACTGTGGTGTGTGTGTGTGTGTGTGTGTGTGTGTGTGTGTGTGTGTGTGTGTGTTCAGGGTGATAATCACAGTCCTCCTGCTGTCACTTTCTCTGTATAAGTAACAATCAAATACCAATGAGATAAACACTTATTGTTACAAGGTGAATTTTTTGGCTGTTTACATTTCACCTCGTGTGCACTGAGCTGATCCTCTGGAGCCGATCATGTGACCTGTGATCTGGAGGAGGGAATCCTCTGTTACCATGTGCCAGTGTGTCTAACAGCTGTGACTGATGCAGCTCAGACATAGTGAACACCTCAACTCCTCTCTGCTACAGTCGCACAGGTCACAGCCTGACTGATGGCACTGAACCTGCGACACAGAACTGAAACTCCCATGAGCAACAAGTCAGGACAGAACTAATGGACTCTGCTCTGTGACCTGTTGAGCTCGTCATTCAACATTTACCTGTCGAGTGCTGAGGAGCAGCACAAACTGCAGCTGTCATGACACATAAATACATTAATAAGATAATTATCCCCAGCTGTGAATCTGCATGAGCGTGTGTGTGTGTGTGTGTGTGTGTGTGTGTGTGTGTGTGTGCACCATTAGCATTGTGGTGCTACAGAGACGCCCCGACCTACAAATCATATTCTCCAGACGTGAAGGAACAAGAACAAAAATTCACATCGTCATCATTTTTATATTTTTTCAGTGAAAATGAAAAAACGATCTCTCCAACTGAAATTGCAATATCTGCCAAAATAATCACAATGATTCTTTTTTTCCCCTTTTTTTGCATATTGTGCAGAACTATTCACAGGTGTTCATATGTTTCATAAATACAGTAAATCATAATTCATGTCAGCAGTAGCAACACCTTACACCAATCAGAGGTCATTAAGATTAAGGTGAGTGTGTGCATATGTAAAGACAAAGTGGCTCCTGCAGACCATCTACTCTCTCAACACCTGCAGCTACTATTATTATTATTATTAGTCTAATTATTATCATTGTTGGTGTTCTTATTGTTAATATCAGTTCTCTTATTGTCTATTCATTGTTATTACTGGTCTTATGCTCTCTCAGAGACCTCCAACTGAACCAGCGTCAGGGTTGAAGGAGGGTGAGTCCTTCCCTCCACTGTGACCGGGTGGTCTCTGATGGGGGGACTGCCATCTGGTCCTGGTCTGTATGGACGGTGCCTTGAGAAAACTTGTGTATAAATAAAGCTGAGTTGAATTGAATAAAGTCTGAAGTGAGCTGAAAAGAACAAAGCATCCATTCACTGCTCAGTTAAACAGCTGTTTAACTTCGACAACAACTGTGACCTCGTGATTCCTGGAGCTGGCTCCTGTTCTAACCTGTGGTAAGGTCACTGTACACAGTCACCAGGACAGGGTGAGGGGGACAGGGTGAAGGGGACAGGGTGAAGGGGACAGGGTGAAGGGGACAGGGTTAGTCTGATGTGAATGCCAGTGTGTTTTTAACCTTTCCATTTTACAGATGTTCCCTTTTTTATTTACAAACATAGACAAATGAATCACAGATACCTTAGAAGAGATCTGATTATCACCTGTATCATCGTCCATCATCACACTGTGACTGAGGGTCCTACAGCTCAGAGTCTCATCACAGCAGAAGTGATTATAAAATATTACACAGCTGCAAGTTTGAACTCAACTGTACAGGTGCTAACATCTGTACAGAGTGACCCACTGTCACATGAGGGACTGTGCAGGACAGAACCAGGACCCGACAACAAGATTAACACCCAAAACTGAGTCTGACCTCAGACCTGTTGTTGCGCAGAGTCATAACTACAGGAAACATGTTAGTGTCCAGAAATAGACTGTGTGTGTGTGTGTGTGTGTGTGTGTGTTGCCAGTAAGTGTCCCATCACCGGTCAAATGACGGGACTCAGGGCTGAGCTTCAGTCAGACTGTCTTTAGACATGACGCTCACTCAGTTTGTTTAGAGACAAATCAGTGTGTGGGTTCCATGTATCTGAGGCTGGACTTGATGCTGTGTTCACGTGCAGCTCTGAGATCCACAGTGACATAAACTTTCAGCTACAGGACAGTTTGTTCCTCAGTGCTGTTGATCACATTTTATCAGAAACTATCGATCCGTCCTTTAGGAAACATCCGACCATGAGACTGTGATTGTTTTCACTACATTTCACTTTTAGGAAAAGCTTTTTTTTTTTTCTTCCGCTTAAACAGCGGACGTCGGGCCGTTGCAAGTACAGACGACCACTTTATAAAGTGTGGTTCTCCCATAATCTGCTTTGTGGGGGTCCTGTCACTGAGCCGATTCAAACAACAGGTTATATACTTCAGAAAAAGTACTACTTGGTGATTGATCAGATTTGATATATGATTGATCAGCATCGGGAATGTGAATTGCCAGATTTTTTAAATTGAGTTCGGCGATAAATCTTTTCGACCCGAAGTCCATAACACGAGCCTTTAATCTATAATCCGGGTTATGAGTGAGTTTGGCGGCTGTGTGCTGGAACCCACCTCCTCTGCGTGTTTCCTCAGAGCCTTCTCTCGCTCGTACTGGGTGACCAGCTGCTCGTTGTCCTCCTTCAGCAGCTCCAGCTCCACTTCGTGCTCCTGGTTCACCGCGAACACCGAGTCCAAGTTCTCCAGCACGGCGACGACCAGCGGCATCAGCTCCTTCACCACGTCCTCGTCGTATTTCTCTATCAGCCGTTCAAACTCTCGGTAAATCGAACTGGCCAGACCCGAGACCCGGTCGGACATCATGGTAGAGTTACCGGAGTCGTCCTGGTAGAGGACTACGCTGTCCAGCTCCATTTTTCCTGCCTCCTCTGGCACTTCTCTCCCAGCTAACGTTAGAGAAACAGGCTGCCCGCCGTCCGACTTTAACCGCGAAACAACCGAGTTTCTAAATCATGTCTGACCGCCGTTCGTCGCTCGGAGACGCCGCGCCTCATTAACAGAGTCCGTGTTCTTCAGTCTGGACGGTGGACTCGGAGCTGCTAGCCTGAAGCTAGCTGCACTGAAAAGTCTTTACTTGGCTCCTGATTAGTTTCCCTGTCCAACAGATGAGCTCCTGCTGCTGCCTTCACGTGCTGTCGGACAGATGGAGACCGTCGGAGTAGTAATCACTAGAGAAGATGATGGTTTTTCATCTGAGTAATTCAAGAGAAGTCAGAGGTGGAGGCTCTTAAAGCTAACAGGATAATTTCTTCGGACCTGTTGCTGATATAGTTTCTGTTGTGTGACGTTTAAGGGGCGGAGAACAAACCGTATCAACCGATTAAAGCAAAGACAAATCATTTATCTGTAGATTTTTCTTCATTTACAGGCATGAAGATGATGTTTGTTTCCAATCACTTTATGTTCCGCTGTAATTTATCACATTTAGCACCGTGGTTAATGACTTTTCCTCCTGTCATTCACACATGTGGCTCAAACACAACAGTCGTGTTGCTCTAATGTGCCATTTATCATAGTTTCAAAACCTAAAGTAGAAAAACATGTAGTTGAACAAACTTTGATTCCTTACAGACTCTCGGCACTGGAATTTACCACATCCCAGGGGTCACGTGAAGATGTCATGTGTCGGTGACGGGACGTCGTGGTGACGTCACATTCTAAGGAGGGCTGGGAGGGAGAATAAAAACTACAACTTCTGTTAGTGATCTATTTATTAGGAACATTTTATAACTAACATGACTTTTCACTCCATAGATACCTTATATGGAACAATAAAGACATCAAGACAAAAATAAAACTTTTTCTTTTTTCTTTTTTATGGCAAATTAACAGTTGGCCAGTTACATAATCAATTATTATCTTACAAGGAATTTCTTGATAATAGTAGTAATAAAAATAACAGCATGGAGAATGTGATACATACAGTATCAAACACAAGTGTAAGGAGATGTCTTTCAAGATATTGGACAGAATTTATCCAGTTAAACATGTTAGAAAGATTAAAGCTGGATATTGATTCTAAGTTTGATTTTGTGGTCTAGAAAAAAAGAGCATTTCCCATCTATATTTTCACTGTATATATATATATATATATATATATATATACATACATACATACATACATACAGGAATGTTCTGGAGGGATGTAGACAACTTTCTAAAAGTGAATATTGAAACAGTTATGTTTGTCTTGTTTGGTCAAGAACCAAGCCAACCTTCCTGCACGTACTTAATGAATTTTAACAACATAGCAAAACTTTACCTGATGTTAAAAACAAAAAAGCTATTAAGACCTTAAAAATGTTGAATTAATATTTTACGCTGCATTAAACAAGAAGTCTGGCTGTAACGTGAAATGTGATTTTTTTTTGGTTCATCATTGTCGTTTCTTTTGTTTTACTGCACGTGTGTTTGTACCTTTGTGTATAATAAAGAAAGTGGAAATAATAAATAAATAAATACATAAAAAATGACCAGGTATAGAGTGTGCTTCAGAAAAAGCTTTTATTTGAGTCTAATGCTTTAGCTATTCAGGCATCAGCTGATTCAAACTTTAACACATCACCTCATGGAGAGTAAACAGGTTCCCACTCACTGTACAGGTAAATGTACCTGTCGGCCTGTCATGTTGAGGAGCTCACACTGCACGACTCTCCGCTGTCTCTCCGTAGAGCAGGTGTGTTTCTCTGAAGCGTAGGCACTATTCACCCTGACTCAAGACATTAAACACAACACAACACACACCAACCACAGTCACGATACAATGATAATGTTATGTTTTAGTCTACATCACTTCCTGGTTCATCCTGCTGCTCATTGTCTTCTCAGATAGGGAAGACCAGAGGGGGCACTGAGTGACCAGGAGGGGGGGGGTAGAACAGTGACATCACAGTTTAACTGCAGCACTGTCAAATATTGTACACAACGCACATTCAAAGATCATGGCATAAAGAAAGTGCTCATGGAGCTGAAATAAAACAAATTATTTAAATTAAATAATTTAAAGCGCAGTCCAACGTGTTTCTATGAACAGGTTCATTCACTGAGATACAACAGATTAATCTACCGTCTCATGTTTCCATTACAATCAAGTCAAAGTGTGTATGAAGAGGGTTACAGTCCAGGTGCAGCAGCTCGGACAGTCCTGGATCAGGTGTTCACATAAAGACAGATGATGATCGTTCAGTCTGTGTGGGACACTTCAGATAACACTGTGCTAGCTGCTGTTCAGGGTCGGCGTGCACAGGGAGAACGGCTTGTCTCTGGTCAGATCGGTGAGCGCTCCGAGCACAATGTCAGGCATGTGATCCGCGAGCATGCTGGGACTGATCAGGACGCTCCTGAACGCCTCTTCACTGGACCACTCCGCCCGGTACCGGACCTGAGAGAAACAGGGTCTGAGAGGACAACATGAAAGTCAGGGGTCTGTCTGCACATGTCAACATCATGTGTGAAACATCTGGAATAACTGAAGGCATCTGTTGAAAGGCTACAACCAACAATTCATTCCATTACCAACAAATCTGACAATTATCTTCTGATTAATTGATTAACCACATGGTCTAACAAAGTTCTTCAGAAGTTCTCAGAGTCACATCTTCAGTTCAGTTTCATACGTGACTGAGGAAGACATGAAATATTCATATTTGAGGAGCTGGAACAAATTACTCAGTCACTTAATCAATTATTAAAACAGCGATACATGTCCAATGAATCCATTAATCAGCTGATCACTGCAGCTCAGCTGTGTATTCATCAAGACATTAAATATTCAGGACATACCTCCGTGACGGTCCGTCTTCTGTGATATACAGAATGCGTCCAGGCAGGAACAGCGGTAAGTGGGCTGCCTTGTGGGCAGGTGAGTCATCTGACGCCAGGCTCTGATAGGATGACGAGTGGCGAATGATCAGTGACTCCTCCCCCAGCAGCGGCTGGCTGAGCTCCTCCTCCCTCCTGTTCTCCATCTCGGTGGGGAAGTCGTCTGGGTCTCCTCCGAACAGCTCGTACCAGCAGCCCTGCAGCAGGATGCGGTACTGCCAAACACACACACACACACACACACACACACACACACACACACACACACACACACACACACACACACACACACACACACTCTGAGTCCAGGTCTGAGACTGATCTAGAATCACTGCAGGGAACAGGTCTTACTTTGGGCTTGTTGCAGTTTGAGACTATCTTGAGAATCCGTCTCTTCAGGTCCTCCATGTTGGGAATGCTCAGTCTGAACAGAGAGAACAGATGATTAAACAAAGAAGAAGAAGAGGAGTGTGATGTCACCTCCTCCTCCTCCTCTGTGCTGTAAGAACAGGGCAGAGCCAAATCTAGAGTCTACATCAGTGTCTATCTGTTCACCACAGCACACTCATATCAGACTGTCAGTGATCGCAGGGACAGATGACACATTAAAACTACAATGAACTAAACAGTAACAACACACAATGTTTACCCATGATGCATTTCAACTTAAACACCAGGTTCTAAGAGGAACCGGTCTCACCTGGGAACCAGATCCTTCCCCAGAACCACAGAGAGCACAAAGTCCTTGGAGTAATCAGCCAAGGCTTTACTGCACAGGGACAAAACACAACAACCATTGACATGAACACACGTAATAATAAAACTACAATATCTATATATATATAAAGTAATATATATATATATATATATATATATATCTCCCTGTAGATTACCTGTCTAAAGGTAAACAGACTATAACCTTTAACAACAGATAGAGTTTAACTGGAGGCTCAGCCATGATCACATCCACTTTAAAACTGTAAAATAAAGGATGTCCTCCTCAGTCCTCCTCACCTCAGGAGTCCCCCTGGTGGAGAGAAGGCGTAGCACTGCAGGGTGGGGAAGGAGTTCCGCAGGAGGATGGCCAGCAGTGACGCTGTGCCCGCGCCCAGACTGTGACCAGTGATGACCAGTTTATACTCCTGTAAACACACAGGGTCAGTCATGATCCACCTTCTTCGACATGATGATAAATATCAGTTTAATCATGAAACACGGTGGAGAAGTGGAGAAGCAGCTGTTTCACTGGACAGATGAAACCCAGCCTCATAACCTGTAGGTGACGTCTCATTCTCTCCTAACAGGATCTACCAGCAGCTTCTGACTGAAGTAAACACAGCAGCGCCCCCCGGTGGCTGACCTGCAGACAGTCACTGTTCTTACCGGAGCCACGGAGAAGGCCTGGTTCAGGATCCCGTCGTTCACCAGCTTCTTGTAGATGTAGCCTGCAGCCTGACACATGCCCTGCACCAGAGAACAGCAGCTTCAGTTTCTACTGACACATTCAGCCTGTCACTGTCTGCAGGTACAGGTGAGCCTATTACCTTGTACAGGTGTGTCAGTTACCTTGTGACCGTAGCAGGCTCCACACACGCCCTCTATAGGCAGGTTCTCACACTCAGCAGACAGGTCTGTGAGGACGTCCTGCAGGACACACACTCAGTCAGGTTAACAGTCACCTGGGAAACCAATCGCTAGGGAGATTTACCAACACTGCTTATCGACCCGGTTCTTTAATGGTTCTCTTGCTGCTTCTTTTTGTGATTTAAGAGAAAATATTGAGAACAAAATAAATGTATTTTCTCATATGTCCTGTATATAGATTAATATTGAGTATCAAACTGTAACAGTGTTCTGAGCTGTGACAGACTATAACGTGTTTATTGAAATATTAAACAATAAAATAAACCTGTTCTGAACTGTTACAGACTCTGATTTTGTGATGATGAAAATGTAAAACAAATGTATTAAACAGTTCCTCACTGCAGAACCTTTGACTGTATTTTTACTGTTTCCCTGCAGTAGTTTCGCCTGCAGCCTCCACATCATGAATACAGAAAGAACAGAAGCAGGAACATCAGAGCTCATCAATACTCAAGTCTTCAATAATTTAGACCCGGGGCCAGCTTAACAGCAGATCTCATCATGTGTGAACATGATGCATTCACACACTCATTTTACTTTCTCTCTAGGAGAGAGGGTTACGCCTCTATTGATCTATTGATCAGTCTGTTCTGTCAGTTGCTCTGCTGTCATCTGTACAAACAGGAAGTGACACTGAACATGAAGAGGAAGTGAAAACAGCAACAAAAACAACAGACAATTGCAGCATTGATCATGTGCACATTAGTTCATGGTTCTAACAACATGGAGGTGTTGATGAGAAGACTCACCCTCAGTGACAGAGTTCCTCTCACAGCCACCAGAACAGCTTCTCTCTTATGGTCCAGAGCCACGAAGAACGGGATCTCATAGATCTGCAACACAGCCAGGTGTTAACACTGTCAGACCAGACCAGACCTCTACAACATAAACCTGAGACTGTGAACACAGAGGACGGATCCTGACTGGGACCAGTTCTCACCTGGTTGTGGAAGCTGACGTAGATGAAGTCTCTGTACTGTAAACCAGTGCTCTGCAGGATGGAGGAGAAGTGACAGCCCAGGTGGTCTCCTCCAACGATGTCGTACTCAGCTGCTCGGCTCCTACAGCTGACACACACACACACACACACACACACACACACACACACACACACACACACAGGCAGCTGAGACCTTTAACTTGAATCTCAGAGACAGAAACAGTGTCGGCAGTGATGCAGCTAAACAACTAAACAAAAACAATGAAGTGTAAAAAAGAATCTTCATGCGAAGTGTGATCACAGATTTGATCATTTCGAGTCTAAATACTGTAGCCGATACAGATACTGTCATATCCTCTGACAGAGAGAACATCTCACCAGTCTCCGCTGAGCTTGCAGGGTCCAGTCAGGGGGTTGGAGTAGATGTAGAGAGGCCATCCATACGCTGCTGCAGCAAACTGCATACAGTGAGCTGCTTTCTCCAGCTCTGTCTCCAGATCCTCTCCCTGCAACGATCAAACACCAACAAGAGGAACATTTTTCTTTACATGAAGTGATGCAGAAAACCATTATTGACATCACTGTGAGGTCAGAGGTCGACTGTAGCTCCACTACTCACAATAGGAGAGGAAGGACTGTGAGAGACCACGTCGTCTGGGTCTCTGCTCCGCTCCATCTTATCCTGCTCCTGGGACAGCAGAGCCAGACCAGCTGCTATGTCACTGGGGACAAGGTCTGTATCCTGACACACACACACACACACACACACACACACACACACACACACACACACACACACACACACACACACACACACACACACAATATCATCAAATCTGACTGAACTCAGTTTGCAGACCCACTAACTGAAGATGTAAAAGAGAGGAGGAAACCCTCACAGAGAAGAAGCCGCTGACGAGCTGTGCGATGCTGGAGAACGCCGCTCGGTGGCTTTCATCCTGCGGCAGACAACAGCACAGGAGCCGCAGCCTGCTCTCCCACACCTTCACAGCCAGGGAGCGAGCTGTGGAGAACAACTGGACGCCCTCCTCTCGTACTCCCAGTGGCTCCATGGCTGCAGGCTGAGGGCGAGGGTTTCCCATAGGGTCAAACACAAACACCACGCCCAGCGCCGTAAAGAGCAGGATGATCCAGCTGTTGAGACGAAGACAGAGAGATGCTGGATCAAAACACATCGACTAATTCTAACATGATTAATGACTATTATGAAGACACACGGACAGGTGACATATTAAAGGAGAAACCATCACACAGAGTCTCAGTCAGGTGTTGATCCTCCAGAAACTCCAAATCTCTGAACTCTACTGGAGGATCAACACCACTGACACCTCCCATAGTCCAACTGGGTCATGTTTCAGGTCCCTTTTTTAGTTTGCCACCGTCTGTACCTGTGAAAAACTCACCTGGCAACCACTGCTGCGATGACAGCACCCACTGTGGCAGGGTCGCACCCTTTGCTGTCATCAGAGACCCACACAGCTCCCAGACAGGCCCACACCAGCTCAGGAATGTACAGCAGAGCTCGCAGGTACACCAGCGCAGGGATAGAGCGCCGTGGGCCGGGGTTAGTAATGGTACCTGGGAAGCAATTGTAGACATCTCTGACATACCTGTGCTGGTTGCAAGATGATGTTGCAGTGGTGGTGTCATACTTTTCAGAAGCTAGCAGTTAGCTAAACAGTGACACTGTGTAATATATACATTAAAATGCACAGCCATCTTGTTTGTCATCATTCTGACACTGATAAAAAAAGGACAGTGTAATAGCACCATGTGTCATCATACTGTACTGTGAGGTAGAGCTGCCTCCTGTTGCATTTTCTGACTGTTCAATCATTTGCAAGTTTACAGCTGTTTCAATATGAAGGATGACACTTGTGTACATATTATTGTGTGTGCACTAGATCCACAAACATTGTTCTGCTTCATCTCCAACCAGTTGCTTAAAAAACTGGTTGTGTAAGGTACCAACTGCTTTGCAAACTTCCTGCATTGCATATTTCAGTATAACGTGTATTAGGTGAAAGCTGTGTAATTCCACCCCTGCAGTTTACTCATCTTTACATATTAGACTCACAAAAGGTTAAGGTAGAACTTACCTTGAGCACTGACATAGACAATAGCAGATAATGTCAGGATGATGAGACCAAGCACAACCAGTAGTCCAACCAGGTAGCTATGAAGAATTCTCCCATTACAATCAAAATCACCCTTGTGATGAGTGTATAAGATCAAAGTGCCAATCCACCTAAACACAGAAGTGGAGAAAAACAAGAGCAGAGACAATGAACATTGTTATTATGCCTGATTAGTTGGACCTATGATGGATTAAGTCTCCAGTAATGCATGCACATTCATGAGGGTAAGCAACATACCAAAGTACACGGATGAACAGCTCAAAAGAGCCGGGGAAAACAAGGTCGTCGCTGGCGATGCCCCACCGCCGACCGAACGCCACCAATCCAGGCATGTTGCAGGTGAAGAAGACGAGATATTCCACGAACAGACGTTTCCAGCGCTACAAAGAGAGAGTGGGCAGGGTTCTCCTGGTCAACGGACACCTCACACCTTTCATGACTTCACTGCCAAAGCAGCAGCTACACTGGGTGGCACCGAGCCATACCCGTTGTTGTCACATTCTACTTTCCAATGTTGCTTTATTAGCCCAAATGGTTCCGGTGTAGCCTAGCTACAAGCTAACGTTCAGTAGAGTATTCTGGCAGGAGCGTGCGTGTCCGTTAACGTTACCTAATTTTAAGAAGGTACGCCCAAGCTCTGATGTTTATGTCCTGAACAATGTTACGGTTTGCGACCTGTCAACACGTAGCTAGCTCAGCTAACGGTAGATAACAGTTGCCAGTGCGGTTTACGACAGCTAGCAGAATTTATACCGTGGAGTGACTAGCCTCTAATGTTAGCTGTCTCGCTAAAGAAAACTCTAAAGCTATTCCGAGAAATTGATTGCTAATCCTGTTTGCTACGCTACTATTGTTAGCTAATAGTAAATCAACCCTTCGCTCTATAAGTACAGCTACCTTAATGTTTAGGTAACACTACATGTAGCTAAATATAGAAAGCTGGTTTGTTTTGTTTTTCTCGAAAAGCAACTGTGTCCGTCCGCCGACGACTCCCTGTTGCAACAGCAGTCATCGGGTGAAAGTTCCGCTTTTTCCTCTTCATATTAAACGCATGTAATAATAGCGCCCACTCGTGGCAAACAGCAAATAGTTTTATATAAGACAGAAGACTGATTTAAAAAAAATGATGATGGTGATACACAGTTATATATATATATAATTATTTCTACTAAACCTGTCTATGTTGTGTGCTTCAACTGGAGACATAGTTCATATTCAATAAAGTCTATTTGAAATTAATTTTTAGATTTATTTTTTTTCCCCCAAGTACAAGTTGTGTGTGTGGGTATACATACCCATTGAAATTCTTGTAGAAATCAACTTTAAAATTACTTTCACGGTGATTTCCTCCTTTGACCCCAATAATTTTCTTTTCTTTAAAAAAAAAAAAATTTTATCCTGATTTTGTGATGTCCTTCAGTCATCCATCAGTTTCTGCTATGATGTGCAGATTTCATTCAGTCTCGCTAATAAGTCAAGTTATTCAATCTATTGCCAGACATTTGTTAGGCAAGTAAAGATATGTTTATATGAGATAGGATGAGTGTATTGTAAGTCATTTTCCTAATAGCTAATAAGTAGATTAGTCTGCACAACATACCATATTGAATGCGTATGGAATGAAGGAATGTTATGGATCGTTTCATATACATATTTGCCGCCATTGCAGTTCCGTGGTTCCATGGTGTAATGGTTAGCACTCTGGACTCTGAATCCAGCGATCCGAGTTCAAATCTCGGTGGAACCTAACTTTATTTTCTTTTGTGATATAATTTACAATGCTTACGTAAAATAGTATGAACAGCACGCAGGTCTGAGACCATTCTCTACCCAGACACCTGCAACTGCAAGTGCAGCTTAGTAATAGCAGCAGCAGCTACTTTACGTGGAGTATACTTCACTAGCCATAACGACGTCATACCAACATGGCGGCGCACATAGCACGACGGTCTTATTTACTTTGCCGTAGCGCAGGAATAAACGTGATTTCACTGCGTGTAGAACCAATAAGAGACGTTCACAGCAGGTTACAGCCGCGTGTTAGTTATGGGACCCGGGAAACAGACACAGAGGTTAGTGAAATGACACCATGCAGTCATCGTTTCATTGATTCCCATACTAACAGGACTGGGTTAAAGTGCCTTCTACTTCATGTCAGCCCTGTCACAGTCGCCCTCTATACGGTCACTGTGTAGCTGTAAGAATATTTTAACTGTAAATTTCATCCATTATAAAGCACTGCAAAAATTGAAGCACAAAATATTTGGTGTACAGAGGCTGAGCACCTGTCCCTGCACCCTCCCACTCTGTGAGGGTAATCTTCCTAAAGCCTCAGTTATATTGTTATTGAAGATACCAAACAGTTCATTTCCCCAGTAGAGAGAAAATTTAGAGAAAATATTCGTCCCGAAGTCACCATGAGGTTCTTGGTCTCCTCTTTTACCAAGACCCTTCTCCCTGATGTATCACTTAGTCCAGGTCCAGCTCTAGAAGAGTCCTGGTTGCTCCAGACTTTTTCATCTTGTGAACCTTCAATGCAGCAGAAATGTTTTTGAGCCTGTGCTACTGCTGCAGCTGCAGATAGTTCAGTTTTTAATTTTTAATACATTTGCTAAAATGTCTAACGTTCAGTTTTCACTTACTTGAGAGTAGCTTGATGAGAGAAAACATGTTTGTGTTTTTTATTTAGCATTGAACTTCAACATAGCGTGAAAACAGTGCAGGGGTCTGAAGACTTTCTGAATGAACTGTAGAATGAACTGTATGTCCTTGATGCACAGTGAAGCAATAGATTTTTATTTATTTATTTATTTTTCATTTTTCAGGACGCCCAGGTGCACATTCCAGTGGGTAAATATAAATATGTATACCAATGTGCTTTACTAAAGCAGAATAAGTGTGTATTTTAATTCTGTTTTTGTATTTTCTTAATAATATGTTTTTCTCCTTCTGGCTCTCAGAACGTCTGAGAGTGTCTTACAGCAGGAGCAGTGGTCCTGGTGGTCAGCATGTCAATAAAGGTTCTCCAAATGTAACTTTATTATTTAAAAATGCTCCTTGGTAGATGTGTATATATGTCACAGTGACAAGTGGCTCCTGACGGCCTGTTCAAGGCCTTGAATCTTGAATCTATGTGATGTTAACACATGTCCTGTGTGGTGACATCTCCATCCACAGTTAACACAAAGGCAGAGGTCCGGTTCCATGTGCTGACAGCAGACTGGATCCCAGAGGAGGTTCGACAGAAGATCTTTGAAAGGGTTTGTTTTCTGCATTCCAAAGTAATAACGGCCAAGTTCCAAGTTTGTCTTTAAACAGTCTCTCCTGAGGTGTCATTACACTGTCAACAGAAGAGCAGAGCTGCCTTTGTTATGATCTTTGTCCCTGTCATTTTGAAACCATTAAGAGTAAACGTAGTAATTTTCTGCTTGGTGTCACAGAACACAAACCGCATCAATAAGGCCGGAGAGCTGCTGGTGACCTCCGAGCTGAGCAGGAGTCAGCACAGAAACCTCTCAGATTGTATCCAGAAGATCTCTGCCATCATAGCTGAAGCCAGCAGGAAGCCTCACGAACCGACAGCAGAAGACCTAGCTCTGAGGGAGGCCAGGTGCGACCTCGCAGTTTGTTTTTCTATCCACCTCGATTATAAATGAGTCTTATGTATGTTTTTGATGTGAAATATGTTGTGCAGGTTACAGAAGAGCAACAAGGAGCGACTCAAACAGAAGAAGATCCATTCAGCCATCAAACAGAACAGACGAGTGGATTTTGACTGATTAATCAACTGTTATGTTTCTACCTCTAATACTTGCTTTGTCATTTATTTACATATAAATAACATGTCCAGTGTTATTGATTTTAAGTAAAATAAAGTAAGCAGCAATTGTTCTTGTTGTAAATACCAGAATCATGCAAACCATTGTCAAGGGTTTTGAAATTCACTGCTACAGTTTTTGACTGGAGATTACTGACACCAATGGTAAAGCAGGGTTCGAATTATGTGAGGGATTGGATCTTTTTTACCAAAAGAGGTAAAAACAACAGTCCTTAGGGGGCTGAAACATTTATATATTTTTTTTTTCTTACCTGTAATTGTAAATATTACAATATATTTCCCATATTCATATCTGGAAGAATGTTGTAATATGATTACAAACACCCCTAAAGTGAACCGTACCATTTCTTAACCTTGATGTTAGCTGAATGTCTCGTCTGCCTGCCTCACTACATCAGTGGCTCCATCCTCAAGTCTCTGCTCCTGTCAAAAAGTCACTGTAGGTGAATGTAAGCAGCAGTAGCTAACTATCTAGCTTGTTTAATAAACTTTACTTTTCTACCCGCAGAGTTTCTGAATTAGATTGTGTCAAGTATCTACGGACAAACGCTAATGTTAGCTAGTTTCTAGCTTTAGCCTTAAGTTACAGTTTAGCTAAATAATGTTAGCTAGCTGATAGCTCACCCTTTCATTTCCAGTGTTAGCTTGTCATTTCATCACCAATATAAAATGTCATGTATGATCTAATGTTTGCAAACACTGGTGCTCAGTCATGAGCAGTGAGACAATGGAGGATTAGTTGTTTCAGAGACACGTTTTCACATCAATATAGAATTTATTATTTCATGTTAATAGTCTGTGTGTTTGTGGTGGTTTAGTTAGTGTGTGCTGAAGGCTCAGTGATTATATTAGCAGTGCTGGAAAATAATTAAGTACATTTAGTCTAAGTACAGTTTTAGGTACGTGAGTATTTCCATTTTATGCTACTTTCTACTTCCACTACATTGTACTTTCTGCTCCACTACATTTATTGACAGTTTTTGTTAATCCAGTAAGAAGCACGTACCTGTACTGTGATCACTTTTGCCCTGGAGAAAAAGTTGACTCCCCCCTCTCGTATTGTGACTGTATAATTCATGCTCTGGGGTACAGTGTTGCTGAATTGCGGCAGACATGTCGATGATAAGTCTGTGAGAAATTTTCAACGTATACACGCAGGGAAACAAAAAGGTTAGCAGAGGATGGTTTCGATCCATCGACCTCTGGGTTATGGGCCCAGCACGCTTCCGCTGCGCCACTCTGCTTTCATACACACATTGGCGGCGCATAGCATTTTAATGTTAAACATGTCTCCATTATTGCATTGTAGGTTTCGCTTTAAATCCGCATTATAACGTTAAATACGTTGAAATTACTCTACTGTCGTTTATCTAAAAGGGAGGCTATTTTAATCACTTAAACAAAATATAAAAATGTTAAAAACTTAGCTATGTCCGAGTTACTTCGTTAGGTTAGCATAATTTTAGCTTTATCTTGCAACAACTGTTTTATGCTATCATTGATTCGTGGCTACGTGACAAGTTAACGGTAGTATGCTTTAAAACAACCCGATTAAAACAATGTTTACAAAAGTCGACCACGAAGGGACTCGAACCCTCAATCTTCTGATCCGAAGTCAGACGCCTTATCCATTAGGCCACGCGGTCGGATCGACAGACGTAAATCCGGATAACATATAAATATTTGTTGACTACGATACCCCGAATTAGGGCGATTATTGTAATGTCGATTATATATATATATATATGTACATATATTGTATATACGGAAAGACGAGCTAACATGATTATAACAACATCCTTCACCCTCTTCCCGTATCTTAGCCGTTCTTAAGGACATGCTTACTTCTTTCTCTGTAAATTATCTCATTGTCACTCTAAAAACTGAAATAAACAAAAGACGTTAGCTTGTTCTGTCATTTCCACTCAGTGCAGTCATATAAATAAAATAACACAGGATGCATGATATCAATGCTTTATTAACAGGGTCTTAGTTCAATGATGACAGAACTAACATCAGACCAGACTAAACTGTAATGTCAATATCTTATTAACTGATAATACATGTAAATAGAGCAAATTAAATATGTTTATTCTGACAATATGTTAGTGACATTCACATATAGGCACTGAAAAGTAAAAAAAAATAATGAAGAAACATTCACACACAAATAAATACACAGGTACAGATTCATATTAGCTATTCTAAATATACAAGAGATGAGGCGTCAAACATTTTCAAGTGCAAAAGTAAGACATGACGGAAAGCTCATCACCTGTAGGATGGTAACACGTTCCTCCTCCTCCTCACACTCAAATCACTCTAACAGACACGATCACTGACCTCAGATGCTCTTTATACAACAGTTATCCAGAAGGATTTCTCTCTCTCTCTCTCTCTCAGTAACAGTCTTCAGAAAAACATCCACCCTCCCTTTTTAAACGTAGGACCCCCGCCAGGTGTCAGCTGAGACACCTGTGGAGGTTTCAAGCTTCGTTATGTCTTAAATCTCACAGAAGAATCAGATATAAAATATTAGCTGTGATAACATTCATTATAACAAAGTTTTATACATAGAGGTTCCCAGAAAAAGGCATAGGCATCGTATACTGTGAAAAAGGTGCAATATATTTGCAGGGTAGTTGTATAGTTAGCTAAGACTGCTATGTGTTAGAAAAAGCCCTGGGTTGAAGCCTTATACTGGTTACACTTCTACTGTAGTGTCTGTCAACTGTAACTGAAGGAAACAGTCCCAAAGAATATGTCATCCACCAATGTAACATCAGTTTCACCACTGCACCACTTTCTACTTCACAGTCTTCACAGTCTAATGCCCAGAAAACAGAGACAATAACAATCTGCACAGATTGTCGCAGCTTTTAGCTTTAAAAACTCAACAGGTTAAACTGATCAAACTAACACTTTAGATATTACTCAGTACTGTGAATACATTTATTTGTTGTAGTCCACATGCAGATCTCTTTCAGTACTCAGTGGAGAGATAGATGTACATCATATTTCCAGTCTGTGTTCCTCTTCTGTCAGAAAGTGTTTTCACTGTGAATCAGTGTTAAAGTCATCAGCTACACAGTTCAACATCTGGAGAAATACTCTCTTTGGCTTCCTGACAGTTTGACAAGATCAATATCATTCCTGTCTGTTTACTAAACATCAAGCTACAGCAGCTGGTTAGCTTAGCTTAGCACTAAAAAAACAGAAGCGGGGGAAATGGAAAAGGTGGCTCTGTCCAAAGGTACTAAAATCCATCTACCAGGACTGACCTGTTACTCAGGGGTTAAAGTAGGGGAACCCTAGGATTTGGATTTATGCCAGTCCAACTCTGTTGCACGAGCAGTAGCCTGGCTGTTCACACCAGAACAGTGACCAATCACAGGTCTGCTCCTGTTTGATCATACATATTTATAATGCAGAGCTTTTTCTGTGTTCCTGAATAACGCATCACCTTGTTCAACCCCGGCCACTGCAATTTCATTGATTTAACTATTAAATTGGGGGGGTTAATCTTCAATTAGCTAATAGTAGTTACTTAGCTAATAGTGTTATGATGGGAACTGCTGCTCTGTAAACTCACTGTCTCATATTTTAAACATAATGATCATTTTTAACTATGGGTTGACAAGTTCAACATCTATAATATACAGCTCATAACATGAACATGGTGTCACCAGTCGTTTTCCGTCACATTCAAGTTATTTTTACGGCTTTGCAGCAGTGATGGAAAGTAATTACAGTAAACTTCCAGATGGGAACAGACTTCGACACAACACCAGATCGTTCCGCACCGTTCTGACCCACTTTAAACCCAGACATAGTCCAGTACATACCCACAAACAAGCCAGAACTCGTCACAGTCGACAGAGCCAGGCTAGCTGTTTCCCTCTATTTCCTCTCTTCATGCTAAGCTAGGCTAACCAGCTGCTGGCGTGTCACGTCTTGACAGTGGAATTGATCTTCTCATCAAACCCCTGAAACAGCACTGAGGCCTGAGAGGATCACCTTCGTCTCTTCATGTGATTATATTAATGTTAGTAGATCCATTATAATTAATATTCAGTTTTCTAGAGCAGTGTTAATGTTAAGTGCCTGAGGCGTGTTACTGTTACTGTGGTAGATGTCTATAAGGTACTGTAGTTAGGCAGTGAAGCCAGGACAGATTCAGACTGAACTCTGAATAAAAGAATATGAGGGGAGTGATCTCATGTTTAATGTGACTGAAGTTTTAAAGTTAATCTCATGCAGGTTCAGATTCTTGTGTAAGTGGAAGGTTTCAGTCCTGGACTCTGGACTCTGGACTCTGGACCATGGAGTCTAATGTGAGTTCAGTTAAACTCAACTCTACTGACTTTAGCTGTTTTCCCTCTGGAAGAGCGTTTACACCAAACTCCTGTTCAAACATCACACAACCATCAGTGGACCATCAGTGTTTAGTGGACTTGCTGGACTTCCCAGACTTTTTAGAGGCTTTGGTAGCTTTGATGTCCATCTTGGTCTTCTGGATTCGAGAGAAGATCTCCTTGAAGAGGGCCTTGTACTCTGGTGTGTTCTGTCCCAGCCGTTTATCCACCGCCTCCACCTGCTTGCTGATGCTCTCAATGGCCTCGGGGGTGGAGGGCGACTGGGCGGGCGTCGGGGGCGGCACCGGGGTGGGACCCATGGCGCAGTCTTTCATGGATGGGTCTCGGGAGACGGGTCTGGAAGTCTGGACCTCGGCGTGACACAGGCTCTCCTCGTGGCGCCGACACTTCCCCAGCAGCTCCTCGTATTTCTCCAGTAAGGCGTGGTACTGCTCATCCACCTCTCGCAGGATGGACATCCCCCTCTTCCTCACGCTGTTGGCGTGGAGGGCGTAGCTGCCTCTCCTGCGGCCGGACGCATCCCGAGCCACAATGGTGTTGAGCGCTGTGTCGCTGCAGCTTTTCCTCACGGGGCTGGAGTCAGGTAACGCCTCACTTCCACCGCCCCCTCCTTCGGTTTGCTCGCTCGTACCTCCCCCCGTCTGCCCCACCTCCACTTCCAGGAAGGTGTCGGTCTCCGGCGTGCTGTTGAGGACAGTCTGCGTGAGAGCCACGCCGTCATCCTCGCCGCTCAGCAGGAAGGTCCGGGCTCGACGGAGCTGCTGCAGCTCCTGAAGCTCCACCTCCAGCTCCCGCACCCGGGCCTGGCAGCCCTCAGCATCCTGGAGCAGAGACACAAGAACAACTGCTCCTGATTCTGTTCTTCAGTGAGTGTGTTGTGTGTGTGTGTGTGTGTGTGTGTGTGTCCTGTGAAGGAGCCTCAACCAGACCAATCTGATCCCCTGTCAGAATCACCAGGTAAGTCAGGTGTCTCAGGTGAGTACGAAGAGAAAGGCCGTACTCACGGATATTTTTTAATCTCATTATCTCAAGATAACAAAGCTCGTTATCTCAGGAGGAGAGTCACTGAGACTTAGTGTATGTGTATAACTGATTATATCTCGTTATCTCAGGATAATGAGCTTTGTTATCTTGAGATAACGGGATAAAGAATATTTGAGTGTGGCCTCTCTCAGCTTCCGTAGACGAGTGTGACTCTTCACTAACCTGCAGTCGTGTCTGCAGCCGTGAGAACTCTGCCAGCAGGAGGTTGCACTCCCTCTCCACCCCCTCCCTGCGCCCCCTCTCAGTCCGGATCGCTGCCCTCAGGGCCGACACCGCCTCCCTCAGGTGCTGGTTCTCCTCTTCAAACGGCTGAGGCTTCGTCTCCACGGTGAAGCTCTCAGCCCGACCCACCACGAACTCATCCTCATACCTGAGAGAGTGACACACACATGTGGTTCGTTTAGAGACAGTGCCCCCCCCCTTACAGAATGTAGACCCCCCCCCCCATGCAGACTGTAGTACCCGGGGGCTGTGCAGAGCTCCCTCAGACAGGGGAAGGTGTGGATGGTCTTGCGTCGCTCCCTCTTCTCCCTCCGGACTCGGAGCTGCTCCATGGACCGGAGCTGATCCACCTGACCTGACAGAGACTCCACCTGGGTCTGCAGAGCCTCGATGGTCCCCGTTAACCTGGTCCAGGGGGAGGAGGGAAGGTTTAGTGGAGGAGGAGGAGGAGTAGGAGGATGAAGCAGCAGAGGAAGGAGAACCCACCCATCCCCTCACCTCTCTATCTTCTGCTGGGACGTCTTGCTGTCCGTCACCAGACTGAGGTTGGTGCGCTCCAGATCTCTGGCCGTCCCGTCCAGCTGCTCGTACACTTTGGCGTGCTGCTCGTTCATGTCCCGGAGAACCTCCAGCTGCTTGGACAGGTACTGAGACACACACACACACACACACACACACACACACACACACACACACTTATTGATTATTATTCATTTGTCATTTTCTTCATCTGCAGATGGAGTGTAGCATCATTTCCTTTTATCTTTTTCTGAAGGTTTTGTTTGTGAAGATCATTTGATATGATTGAAAGCCCCACAACAGCCACTAAATGGACTTTGACAATTTAAACCTCAACTTTACGAAGTTATAACTTGTCGTACTGTCATCAAATCATCAAATGAAATATTAATTAGTAAATTAAACCTTCAGTTTGCACTTCACTGTGAAATCAACTATTTTTATTAAAGGGACAGTCCCACACGTCTTCTGTATTATCTGATTGGATGAATTCAGTTCCTGGTTTCTCTGTCGTCGGCTTCATACCTCGATCTCCTGCACCTGCTCTTCATTAGTGATGTACATCTGCTGTAAGGAGTCCTCCAGCTCCTTGTTCCTCTCCAGCAGAGTCTTCCCCAGCTCTGCAGCCAGGTGGAGGTCTGCAGATCAGACACAGAAGAAGAAGAAGTCTGAGGGGTGGAGGTCTAATGAAGGGCTGCACGATATGTAAAATATAAATCACATTTTCATAATTTTTTAAATTTTTTTTAAAATGATGACAATGTGATTTTTGTTGTTCTTGTTCCTATGTTCCAATATGATTTGTAGACCGAGGCATCTCTGTAGCACCACAACGCTAATGATGCTAACAGTGCGCCACAGTATTGTGACACATTTTACCTTCAACTGCAGCTCCTGTGATCTGGATTTTGCACTTGGTCACGTTGAGATTTAGATTATATTTTTGATTAATTGTGCGGCTCTAGTTTAATGTGACTTTACTTTTATTGCAGCTCACTCCTGTCTTTATCTGATCCTCCACAGTACGATGACTCTGTGTCCTCGCTGTTCTCTGACTCAGCAGCACCGGTCTACACTGTTGGGTCTGAGTCAGCGAGATGTGCTTTGTGACCTTGTACAGAGAAAGTGGAGCTGATGAGGTTCTCTCTCCTCTCAGATCCTGACCTGTATCTATTATCTTCCCCTCTGCTGCTCCATCGTCAGAGCAACACTGACCTTTATTCGTTATGATTGTTTTATTAACTCTGCTTCAACCTGAGCGCCAGCTAAAACACAATCATCTGCGATTTATGAAACATGACGCCTCCACTGTTTCTGTTCTGTGTGTGAAGATTATTTAACAGATGGACCTGTGGACACTTCATGTCCCATGGTGAAAGAAACACACAGGTACAGTTTATATGTGCTGTTCGAGGACTTCTCCTTACACCAGGTGAGTCTGGTGATCACACACATGAATAAAGTTATATGAACTGAATTATCATGTAGTAATTGTAATTGTCGTGGAGTTGGAGGGACGTCGACTCTCTGACAGCCATATCCCTTTCAAAGTAAAAGCAAGATACTGACCTCGACCCTCGGGATGAAATTCAAATGAGACTAAATAAACAGATTAACACTGAAGTCATGTCTGCTCCCTCTGCTTTACAGTTTGTTCCTACAGCTCATGAAGCCTTTTCCTGTGCCAGAGAACCTCACTGTCAACTACATCTGTGAGTCAGCTTCTCGCTTAGTTTTCCTCTCTGTGCACCGGGCACGCTCCATACCTGCCTCTCAAACCCTTGGGTAAGCCTATGTTACAGTACTGGAAGTGAAACATGCTAATGCTAATATTAATATTAATAAACATGTTAATATTAATGTCAATCCTTTTTACTTCCCTCCCTGTCGGAGCCTCAGAGCTCAGACTGATCCTCTGTCAGTCCTGTAACACAAAGACAGTCTCTCTCTGAAGGAGTGTGACTTCCTGAAAGGTCACATGACTGAGGATGAGCTCAGACAGCTCTGACATCTTCTCTGCTCCATCACACACACACACACACACACACACACACAAGAAGACATTTGGACTTCAGCCCTCCTCACTGTGTCCCAGAGTAAAGACTGAGGATCTATTTTTATCCTCTGACACAGGAAGTGACCAATCAGAGAGCTGCAGAGGACAGCGGAGAGACTGACGAAGCATTTTATAAGAATATTCAATTATTGATCCTGAATTTATGATAATATCACATTAATGACTTTAACATAGATGTTAAGACTGTAAATCATACACTGAATAATATAAGATGATTTTAATCCTGACATTGAACACATCATTTGAGCTTCACATTGTCACTGTGTTCAAGTAAGAAAGAAAAATCTATAAAATGTATTTGTCCAGTGAAAATATTTGTGTTCTTTCCATATTTCTATGCTGTTATTTTATGTCTCATATTTAACACAAAGCTGCAAGGTATCCATGGTAACGATGCAGCTGTGAGGACCAGGTGCCAGATGCATAAAACTCTGCGTAGATTCATCACTAAAACTCTGTGTACGCACAAGACCACAAATATACATACACACTCAGGATTATTCAGAGAAGAAAGAAGAATTTCACTGACTCTGAAACTGAAGTAAAAACAAGCATCATTTACTTTAGTACAGTCACTCTAATGTAAAGTCCTGTTTCACTCTGAGCTTCATTTACTGGGACCAGAGAGTCTTAATGAGGCTCCACAGGCTCAAACACTGTGATTACTCAATATTAAAATAGTATGACACAGTTACAGAATGACTCAATAAATACTGATATTAAACAGTGTTAAAGGAAACACTGAGAACAAACACAATTATTTCTGTTCATGAAATGTAAAATTTTTCTTACTGTGTAAACGGCAAAACTTGTACTGATAATAATGACTGCCAGCTCCGTGAAGTTGGTTTTATTTTATGTTGAATTACTGTCTCAGCTTATTTTATATTTTTTAGTCAAAGGAATGACTGAGGTGACGCTCTGTGTTTATAAAGACCAGTTTATGAGGGGGAAAATGGCGTACGCATGGTTTTTGTGTGAACGCATCATTTATGCATCCTGCCCCTGGTGTGTAAAGTCAACACACACCACAGTCTGATTTTCACACTGTTCACATTACTGTTGATCTCAGGCTGTGTGTCAGTGTGTGTTAGTGAAAAAAATAAATGAACTCTGGATTATAAAGATGTGACGTGTCCATCAGCCTCGTCAGTCCGTTCTGTCTCCAGCACCTAAAGATGTTTCACTTAGTGTAAAGTAGCAGGTAGAATCGGATCTTTACGACACTCACAATGAAATAAAACTGATTAGATCTGTAGGTGACTCGTTTATCTGTCAATCAAATAATCAATTCACTGACTAATAGTTGCAGCAATAAAAAATCAAGAGTTCCTTTTTTGAAGAAAAACAACTGTTAGTGGTGTTAAACCCTCCACAACTTACAGCCTGGTTAAAGTCTGGTTACAGCCAGGTTGCAGCCTTTTTGCAGCCTGATAACAGTCTGATTAAAGTCTGGTTAGACACTGATAACAGCCTAATAACCTGGATCAGGCTGATAAGTCTGTTTGCAGCCTGACTACAGCCTGGTTACAGCCTGACTACAGCCGGACAACAGCCTGATTACAGTCTGACAACAGCTTGGTTACAGCCTTGGTTAAACCCTGGTTAAAGCCTGACAACAGCCTGGTTACAGCCTGATTACAGCCTGATTACAGTCTGACAACAGCCTGATTACAATCTGATAACAGCCTGACAACAGCCTGGTTACAGTCTGATAACAGCTTGCAACAGCCTGGNAATCTGATAACAGCCTGACAACAGCCTGGTTACAGTCTGACAACAGCTTGATTACAGTCTGATAACAGCTTGCAACAGCCTAGTTACAGCCTTGGTTAAACCCTGTTTTCAGCCTGGTTAAAGCCTGACAACAGCCTGTTTGCAGCCTTACAACAGCCTGGTTACAGTCTGATAACAGCCTGACAGCAGCCTGGTTACAGTCTGAGAACAGCCTGACAACAGCCTGGTTACAGTCTGATAACAGCCTGAAAGCAGCCTGGTTAAAGCCTGACAACAGCCTGGTTACAGTCTGATTACAGCCTGACAACAGCCTGGTTAAAGCCTGGTTAAAGCCTGGTTAAAGCCTGACAACAGCCTGGTTACAGTCTGATAACAGCCTGACAACAGCCTGGTTAAAGCCTGACAACAGCCGTGTTAAAGCCTGGATACAGCCTGGTTAAAGCCTGACAACAGCCTGTTTGCAGCCTGTTTGCAGCCTGGTTCCAGCTGCTGCCCGGGCCCTGGGTTCTCTCCAGCATTGTTGTCCTTCTCCAGACTGGATCCGGCTCAGACTGAGACGCTCCTGCAGGACGTTTCTCTACATGTTACGGTCTTTGTTAGGTGGAGCCCGGCGGCTGATGCTGCGGACGGGGAGGATGGGGTCTTACCCTGCTCCAGATCCTGCTGGTCGTACCACGGCTCTTCCTCTTCGGTCACAAATTCCTCCATTGTCCCTGAGCTGAGCATGGGTCCCCCCCTCTTCTTCCTGGACCCGGGAAAACCGCAGAAACGGGCCTCGATGTGTGAACAATAGAGCAGCAGCGGGCAGGGTCCTCCAGAAGACACGGCCTGTTTACAGTCAGGGAGTGTTGTGTGGTGTTGTGTAGTTGTGTTGTTGTGTAGTGTCGTGTTGTGGGTCTACGTGTTTCCTCCGTCACTCCCACCTCTCACACCCCACCCCTCCCGGCACCGGCCCATCCCGGTGCTCAGACCCGCTGGTGCTGCTGCAGAGGATCCTCAGACGTGGCAGCGCTTCCTTCTCTCCTCGTGATGCCTTCAAGTGCTGCTCGGAACCTTCAACATTATACAGTTTTGTTTTTCTAGCTTTTGGTCACGTGCGCCCTCTAGAGTTTTATACATGTAAAGACAACGACACAGTCACACCGGTGAAAGGAGAACCAGGTGATGTGTGATGAATATAACATTTCAGACAGCACCTAAACGCCGCATCAGCTCACAGGCTGGAGCTCCACAGAGGCTAAGCTAACCGAACCAGTGTCTAATAATGAGGCTGTGTAGGAGGCAACACAAAAACTACTCAGGCCTGACACCTGGTTCAGTCTCTCAAACACTGCTAAACACATGGTGCATTTGAACTCAACTTAGACTTACATCAGGTTGTGTAATCAACAGAAGAAACAGCCTGTAACACGTGTGTCTGTTGCAGTGAGGCTGGGTTGTGGGGCTTTTTAGGGATGAATGAGTGGATGCTGAATCAGTTTTTAAAATGTCAACACTTCAGTAATAATGACTGTGAGGTCACACACCCTCGCAGTCTATGTCAGTGCACTTTTTTTTTCTCTTTTTTAATTAATTTAGTGCACAGCTCCTCTGTTCCTGTACTCCAGCAGAGTGTCACAACAATAGGTGTCAAGCTTAGTGATGCTGTTTATACCACATTCATTCCCCACCTGTGTCATGTAAATTCAAAATAGTAACATCAGACAATTTTTGTCTCTTTTTATGTGACAGTATTGAAAATTAGTCATTGTCAAAATCTGTTGTGTCGTGGTTTGAGAATGATGGAGACAGAGAACAATTAGATTCAAAATATGATGCAGGTTTAGGATAATTTTTTTTTTCTTGGGCAACTTTCATGTTTTTCCCAAATGATGTTCAAATGGCTTGATACAGTAAACAGCATGTAGCTGCTCTGAATGTCCCCTGAATATCGACTGAAGTTGGGGCTAAGCCCTGAATGTAAATGGTAAATGTAAATGACGGTGACAGTATTCTGTCTCCGACTCTGCTGGATGCTCCTGGATCCTGCTTTCATGTGAACTGTGCAGTTAAAGTGCTGGAAATGATTCACTTCACCTTCTCCTACAGACACTGTCATGCGTCGTCTGCACCAGTAGAGGGCGAGCTCGTGCAGCACAGGTTCTAAAACCATCAGAGATCCTTCTGCCTCTGAGTGTTACTAACATTACATCCTGCTCCTTTCATCGTTAGATATGAACTGCAACATATTAATCAAAGCAGTTGAGTGGATGAAACATTGGACATCAGAATAAGCTCATGTTCTGACCTGAGTCAGAGGAACATGAAATTCAAATAAATGTAAATAAGACAGTTTGGATCAGGTTTCTGTTCGGGAGGATCAAATCATCCTCACCAGCTCACTGAGGGAGACTGATAGAAACACAACATGTTCTGAAAACCAGAGATACAAACACACCAGCTGTTGTCCAGACTGAGAAACAGAGACAGATTTATTTTTCTAAATGATGAGTATTTGTAAAATGTGTAGCGTGAGTGTTGTGTGAAGCCAGGACTCAGGTTCAGTTCTGACACAGTGATATGTAGAGCCACAGATGGAGGCTCAGACTCAGACCTGGTCCTGACAGGTTTGTGGTTAGGTAACATGAAACACACTGAAGTCACAGCCTCATCAGAACCAGCTGAACACTGTGATTTAAAAACAGACGTCAGAGTTTGGAGCGACGCCTCAGCTGTGTGATGAAACAGTGTTATTTACCTCCATACATATGTATCACTAGTGTGTGGGTTAATTAATGTTAATGGATGTGTGATGTTTTATGATCCATGTTTTCCTGGGTTGTTTTTTTGTTTTTTGTTTTTTTTTGGGGGGGGATACTGGTTGTTACCATGGTAACATTGGTCTTAGGCCTGAGTTAGCGTCCTCGGCCCGAGTCTGGCACGTATATTTCCACATCATGGAGTCCAGCTGTTATCCTCCAGTGTGTGCGTCAGAATTGGTCCAGATGTGGAAGTAGCATCTGAAAATCCTGCTGTATATGGGCCAGATTCGGGCCGTGGAACCAAGCGTATACTGGACCACAAGAAAACAAGCATGAGGTGCAAATATGGTCCGGATCAGGGGCCCACCTTCCAGGCCTCACCTTTACCTGTCCTGCCTCTTCCTCTGAATCCAGTTCAGCTGGTTCATTCTGTGTTCTTGTTCTGGGTCCACAGATCAGTTTCTGGTTCTGATCGGTTTGTCTCCAGTACAATCAGCCTCGGTGATTCCACCTAGGCCTCTCATCTGTCAGGTACTGTCCACACATTTCCTGCCAGTGACGTTCATCACCAGTAACAGGAGTTTCCTCTCTGTCCGTGTTGAGCTTCAGGAGGTTGTTTGACGTCGAGGAGGTGAAGTTTCCAGGGAACAGGAAGAAGCTGTGAGTCATCAACATGTAGTGATGTTGTAATCTGCAGTGTGAACAAAACTCAGACACAGGAGCAGAGGAATAGTGAGGAGGGTGGGGGAGGGGCAGCTGTGAGGACCAGCTGGACAGGCTGGAGAGGGTGGATGAAGGAGGAGGATGGAGTAACAGGTGGTTGTGGATTGACAGACAGGTGAGTAATGAACCTGGAGGTGGCATTTAAACAAGACCAGCATCGACTCGTCAGGTTTTATCACCCATGAAGGTTTTGATTTAAACTTTCACTTTAAATATTGTTAACTAAAACAGAAACTCCTAAATTATTGATTCCTTTCATGTAGTAGTGCTAGTTAATTAATCAATTAATTGGTTAGTTAATCAACAGAAAATGAAACCAACTATTTTGATGATGAATAATTTCAGTTTTGAACTGATGCTTTAACAAACCAGCAGTGAGTGGCTTTTTTTTTATATTTGAGCTAAATAGTCTCTAAATAAATTTTCCTATCAAGTGATCAATCAAAGAATATTTGACAAATTAATAATCAAATTATAAATAATCAAATATTTGACCATCCTAAAACGTATGGTGACGTATTAAAGTTACTTACTTCCTCTACATGTGTGTCAGTCAGGCCCTGTGTCTGAGGGCTCACAGGGGTCACAGGGTGAACGTGGTCTCATGTTACACACTGACACCCCAATTAGCTAATGCTAATCTATATCTGTTGGACAAATAGATGATAGTTAGCCGACATGTTTTCCACACCGACTCTCTGAGGTTTATGTGAGTGTTGTGTTTACAGCTCGTCACACAGTTCAGAGAGTAAACATTAGAGTTGTCCATGTTACTGTATCTGCTGCATGTGTGGACGGATATCTGTTCGCTAACATGGGTCTATGTGAATATCTACAGACTGTTTCTGATGCAGCGCTCAGCTTCAGATCATCTTTCAACAGCCTCAACTTTAACACTCTTGCACTGCAGGAACTCTGGGCCGTTCCACTCGAGTGTTAGGAAATGAGTAACGGCTGTTTGTGGATGAATGATGGGGAAAGTCCAGATATCCTTTAATGCATGTAGACACTGTTGATTTTCATCAGAAAACAACAAAGTGAAGGAAAAACCTCATTGTTCCCCCCCCCCCATGGAGGAGGACCTCACAGCCTCCACTGGATCTGGATTCATCAGGGTCTCTGAACATGTCTGCTGTTCTACTTCCTGTGTGTACATGGCAGAAACAAGAACAAATCAACAGCAAACGCAGACGTACATGGTCTTGAGAAATATGGGAGTCAGCTGGCGGGACACCAGATGGATGAACACACACACCACACACACACACATACACACATACCACCCCCTCCTCCTTTTATAAGGAGCCTCGTCTCCACGGTGACTGCAGACAAAAGAGAGGCCCTGGCACAGCTGGTCTGTAGCAGAGAGAGAGAGAGAGAGAGAGAGAGAAACAGAGAGCGAGTGTTCAGATATACAACAGGATAGAGGGAGAGGGGGAGAGAGAGAGAAGCAGCAGTGAACGACTGAATTTGGAAAGTGGTTGGAGGTGGTTGGGGGGGGGGGGGGTGGGGAGAGGGGGGGGGGGAAAGNAAACAGAGAGCGAGTGTTCAGATATACAACAGGATAGAGGGAGAGGGGGAGAGAGAGAGAGGAGAGAGAGAGAAGCAGCAGTGAACGACTGAATTTGGAAAGTGGTTGGAGGTGGTTGGGGGGGGGGTTGGAAGAGAAGGAGGAGGAAAGGGAGGGGTGCACGAACTCCCTGAGAACAGGAGTTAGTCAAAGTCAGAGAAAGTGAGCAACACACTAGAGGAGGAAGAGCTGCAGCTCTGCTGGTCGGCTGAAGAGTCAAATTACCTCCAAACATCCAGGTCTGGTCTCTGAGTCTGAACCGGAGCAGGGACCAGCAGGGACCAGCAGGGACCAGCAGGGACCAGCAGGCTCCACCACAAACTGACCCAGAAGAACCAGTGAAGCGGTGAGAAGACAGGAGGAAGTCTGACTGTGGTTCTGCTTTCAGAGAACGTTGAACAAGTGGAAACAGTGACTCTCACATTCACTGAGAGGTAAGAGCTTGTTTATTGATTCACATATACACTGCACTTTATATTTATTTATACCATCTTTATACATTCTGCATTAAAAGACCAAGTTATGATTTTCACTGCATGGGCAGAATGGGCTTCATACTTTACATCAAAGAAACAGAAGCAGGTTTACTGAGGACTCTGTGCACACTGTGTTATTTACAGTAGCTCTAAAGGCGTTACTGACACAGCTGCATGTTTTGGTCTCTGACTGTTGAGCTGTGAAACACAGTGTGGGAGTGCAGTGGACAAAGACAAGAGGAGACTGCAGAGCAGAGGTCAGGTTGTTCAGACTAACTCTGGCAGGTGGTTGAGATTTCCAGAAAACCAAACAAGGACGTATACACCAATGAACAAAAGTGAATGTATATGTAGACCTATACAGCTACAGTCCTGCTCTGCTGAGG